CCGGCCGACAGCTTCTTTGCGCGCCCTCCCCGCCTCGGCCGCCGCGGCTCGATAGCGTCGGGCCAGATCTCGCGCCTGGCGGCTCGCCTCCCTGACGGCGTCAGTGTGCGGGAGCAGCAGCGCCCGCGCTCGTCGTCTGGCTCGTCGTCGAGCCCGCCGCCGCAAGTGTCCCCGATCCAGCACGAGAAGCGAACCTGAACCTGCTCGCGACGACGAACAACCCCGGCATTTCGCCCGCGGTCGAGGTCTCGCGCCCGCCGCTCGGCCCCAGCTCGCTGTCCTCGACGTCTGTGTCTTCGTACGAGATCACGACGCCCAGCACGCCCTCGTCGGCCACGTCCACGCTCTCGCGCACCGTCTACGTCCAGCCTGCGTCGTGGTCCCGCGCCCCGCTCTCGTTCCAGCACGCGCCCATGCCGGCGCCCATCCCCCCCTCCCTCCTCGCTCGCAGGGGTAGTGTCCCGGCGAACACTTTGCTCGGGTTGGGTCCGCCGCAGGGCGGGTGGTCGAACAGCGTCTACAAGGCGGTGTACCACACGCCGGCGATGCGCCCGCGCAAGCTGAGTGGGGAGAAGAAGCGCACAGCCCAGTCGCCCCAGACGTCGATCGACCTGGGACGCCGAGCGCCCACTACGCCGCTCGGCACGAGTCCGGCCAGGAGCGCGCCGACGCCCAGCCCTGCCCACTCGGCACACTCAAACTACTCGTCCTCGGACCGCGACACGAGCCCGCGGGCACCCAGTCTCGCGCTCCCGAGCCCCGTCGTGCAGTACCCCGCCCTCTCGCCGTTTGTGCCGTACCCCGCTTCGCTGGCGCCGGCGGCCAAGGGCCCAGCCCCGCCCCCGACGACATCGAGCACGAGTTTGCCCCTCGAGACGATCCCGAGTAGTTCGGGGGAGGAGAGGGAGCACGAGTAACCGCGAGCAACCGCGAGCGAAGCGAGCAGACCTACCGGCTGAGGAGCGAGAGCTCTCTGGTCTCAACTAGCGCAGCGGGTAGGAGCAGTAGGAGGAGTAGGAAGCAGTCAACGAGCAGAGCTCGAAATCATCACAGCATAACAAAACACGCCAACCACGTCTCTACGTCTCTACTTTTTGGGTTCTTTAGCATCTCTTATGGGTTAATAGTCTTCTGGGTTTTGGGTAGTAAATGCATACACATGTTGTTCTCTAACTTGCTCCTCTTTGCACTTGACTGACAAACTGTGGACTTGGGCTAGGTCGGACTTGGGATGACGGCTTGGACTGTGTGTTGGCGAGCGAGGCGATGAGAGTGCGTATACGTGCGTAGTCGCGTAGACCAGGCACGTTTGCTAAGACTGAAGCGGCAATGGATCTCACGTAACGAGGACCGGGGGCAATATCTGCTGGCATTCCGGGGCCGGAGCTGCCTGTGCGCGCGGCACAGTGCAGTATGTACAGAGCGGGTATGGAAGTGCAGACTTGCAGACCCGTGACCTGTGTCGATGTGTCAGTGTCGTGCAGATGATCTTCAAAGGGAATCAGCTCGTGACCATAAGCGGGACCACGTCGGTTTCGTCGGTTTCGTCGGTTTCGATGATCAGCAGACATCGCGAATGCGATGACCGATCCGGCCATACATCGCCTGGTGACCGACACGGCAACAGCACACCGATACGGCAAGCCTGTTCGGTAACAGTTGTCAGACTCAGCCAAATAGCCAAATGTCTAAAAGGATGGCAGTCGTAGCTCTTCCGGCGGGCTCGTCTCCGCCAGAAAAATCCTCCGGATGTCTCATCCTTAGTCCTAGTGTCTGTAGGATGTGCACAATGGACAATGGACAATGGACATGCGTATCCAGTCTTCACGCGAGTTTGCCTCGGGGTCCGGCTTTGGCTTCATTGCGTGCTGTAAAAACTCTTGGGTCAGGCGGATGGGGTTGGTGTAGTGTTGGGGAGTGGGCTCCGCAGAATGCTGTGGCCCCGCATTTCGGGCGGTCGTATCGGTGGTCCGTTGTTTTGGTATCCACCAAACCACCTTCCTCTTCTCCTGTCCGGTATGCTTGAGTTCAGGCATCTCCGCTACGGAGCGGCGGACCCCGCTGCGGATACAACCTACCTGGCACTGAACTGGCACTGAACTGGCACTGAATGGGGATACGAGGCGGAGATGGCGGAGGAGGCGGAGGTGGGGGGCCATGTCGTGCTCCAGAAAGCCGAGGGTGAGGGTGGTCCCCAGGTCACCGAAGTGTTGTCCAATGGCTGCATTTTGGGGAGAGGGGGAGGAGGGCGGGGTGAGTGTTCTGCCCTCTGCTCGGCACGCTGCACGGCTGTCCTAACGGGTGTGCGGGTGTGCGGGTGTGCGGATGAACGGATGAACGGCTACACATTCTCCTATCTACACAAACGGCGGGCCAAGCCTGTTCCGCCAAGACGAGATCGACCTCCCATTCATTGTCTCTCAACTCCCACATCAACTCGCATCATGCAGAATAGAGGGGATTGGGCCAGACCACCCAGACCACCCAGACTCCAGCTCGACCGAGCCACCTCCCCGTCCCCCTTCCCTCCTTCCTCCTCCCTCCTCGTCGCGCTCGCGGTCGCGTGAGAAGGACGCTGGCATTGGCGAAATAGACCAATGTGCGGAGGCGTGCGGAGGCATCGTGCGGTCATCTGACCACCCGGACGTGAACTTCGGTCTGACCGAGGTTTCGCGAGGGTTTCGCGAGACTTCCGCTCGTGATTGAGTGTTAGGAACCCGCCATGCTTTGGCACAGGAAATGGCACCGAGCTTCGGCATATGCTGTGTTTGCCGGTGTATTCTGCAGTGGTCTGGACTACGGCTCGACTAGCAATGCCAAGCTGCAGAAGTTTGATAGGAGATCGCAAGGAGGTCGGAAATATGGGGCGGAAGGAGCTCACAGGAGCCCAAACATGCACAGTAGTCAGCGTCGATCATCTCGCCTCCTTGTCCATTTGCACCGTCTTGGGCAGCTTTGTTTGTGTCTGCTGACTGCCTGACTGCTGATGACTCAGCGACACATCCACCTCCCCTGGCCCTGTCTGATCTGGCCCCATCGGTCATCCCATGTGAAGGCGGGCCTCCCAACGTTGCCTGCACTCTGCGGAGACCGGAGCTCATAACGGGCCCCGGATCCGCTCCTTCGGGGCCGCGCATTGCGCTGATGCGAGTTACGACTCTCCGGCTCGGAGACGCTCGAACGGTGGAAGTGCGCGGGAGCACTACGCTGAATTGAGAGCTTTGTGGGAATTCGAGCTTGACGCGGAAGACAAGTGCATTCCCCGCATATGACTCCGGGGGTGCACATGACTACGTCCGGATAATAGTCCAGATGACCCCGGAGTTATGCAGATGACCACGACACAAAAGGCAGATGACTTGTGGCTGCATATGACTTTGTCTTTCGATCGCTGTACGCTGTGGCTGTATCCTGCTGCAAGCGATCAGGCGGAGGCTTGAATGCGCCGAGGGCTGAGGTAAAGATCAAGGTCAACTGATCGCGGAGCGGTGGGCTCTGATTCCCATCCTCAAGAGTCTAGAAATGCTGGACTTAGGCCCAGAACAGCAACGAAGCTTGATCCAGCTGACAACACTGGAAGTAGGTCCGCGGAATGCATTGTGATAATTAACGGGGCCAGGGGCAGATGGCTACGATCTGGCGTTTGCGGCAGCGCAGATGACTGTTGTTGACTCATGGTGACTCACGCTTACCGTCTGCACGGCCCAGATCTGGACGATGCGGCACCTGACACCCACAGCGGTCGCCTGACATCGTGGCACTGGCTGCAACCCTCTGCAAACCTCTGCAAGCTCTGCGAGTACGGCATCCGAAGTCTAAGCAAGGACCTGACACATGCGACAAAGAGCTGTTACAAGCTTACAAGCATGAGACGACCGATGCGGTCTTCCTAACTAGGGGGCTGGACCTTGCGCCGTGTCACTCGATCGGTCGGCGCGTACCTCATCCCTCCTAGCTGTCTCCGCGGTATGATGGGGCCAGTTCCTGCAAGCTCCGGTATCCTCTCCATGGTCCATGAGTCCGCGAGAGTTCAGCCGTGTCCGCGATCCCGGGAATTAGTATCGAGCTTTATCATATACTGCCTGTTCTGGATATGTGAAGGGGCTGGAGGATACCGCAACATGCGATCTGCGACGAGTTGCTGTATCTGGAAGTGAAGCATGGACGATCTGGGGTAAGGTTGTGGGGAAGGACGAACGGTTCAGCGACGGAGTGCACCCGATGTCCGATGGATTACTTAAGCCTTCCCTCGGCTTTGCGGGTGCGGAGCAATGTTGTTTTTGACCAGTCCACAGACTACTGATGTCATGGTGTCCCGAGGGATGATTGACTTTGCACACTCACTCGTACTGACACCACAAAGAGCGACACACCGGAAACGACTCGATACACAGCTGCAAATCCTTGAACTCGAAAGGACAACGGAGATATCGAACAAGTGACAATGGCAGACGACCTCGACCTGGACATGGCCATCGAGCCGCTGACCCCGGCGCCGCAACCCTCCGAGCCCGCCACTGCCGCCGCTGCCTCAGCGACCCCAGAGCCGAATGAGGGCGGTAACAAGTCGCGCTCAGTCACCCGCGTCCAGCCAGGGTTCATCACGCCCGAGGGCGCTGGTGCGCGCGTCTCGCGCTCCATCGGCCTTCCCTCGCTGTGGAATCTGAGCCCCTTCCTCATCCTCGATTACTGCGACATTGAACCGGGACAGGGGTTCCCCGACCATCCGCACCGGGGCATGGCCACGGTCACAATGGTGCTGGACGGGTGAGTGTGTGTGCCTCTCTCGTCCTCGGAAGGACGCATCGACCCTGGGAGGACAGTAGGACATGAGACGAGGCGCTCGCTGAAGAGACTTGCTGACGCTCGCAGCCAGGTTACACACGAGGACCACCTCGGCCACACGGGCACACTGGGGCAGGGCGACCTGCAATGGATGATTGCGGGTCGGGGTCTGGTCCACTCCGAAATGCCAGTGGGCGCAGCCCGCGCACTGCAACTCTGGATCGACCTCCCCGCGGCGCGCAAGATGATGAAGCCGCGGTACGTGGACCGCAAGTCCTCGCAGATCCCCTCGGTGCCGCTTCTCGACTCTTCCTCTGCTGAAGTAGGGTCAGCAAGGGTCATCGCGGGCGAGGTGGGCGACACCAAAGGCTCGGTCCGGGACACAGTGAACGAGATCCTCCTGCTGGACCTCACGCTGCGGGGGGAGACCTTTGTCGCCGTGCCCGCGTCATGGACCTGCTTCGTGTACGCCACTGAGGGAAGTATCAGTGTGGGAGGGAAGAAGGTGAAGGCGCAGGAATGCGCCGTGCTCTCAACGTCTGAGGGCGAGACGGGCGTCCACATCGAAGCTGGGGGAAAGGGAGCTAGAGTGCTTCTCGGTGCGTCTCCACCCCTGCACCAGGAACTGGTCATGCAAGGCCCGTTCGCAGTGACGTCGCGCGATGCGGCGGGCAAGGCGCTCGCCGACTTCCGAGACGGGAGGAACGGGTTCGAGAAGGCACTCGGGTGGCGGAGCAAGACAGGGCAGGCTGTGTCCTCTGGGGCCAAGGGGAAGGGAGGCAAGGGCGGGAAGGGAAAGAAGGCGAAGAGGGGACGGCGGGGAGATGACAGTGACGACGACTAGGGGATGGGACAGGCGTGCATAGATGATCATAGATGCATAGAGACGATGCGATAGAGTGCGAGACGGTTGGGACATGGATACAAGTTCTACTCGTGGTAGGCAGGAGGAGGACCGGAGGGCGGGGGCGGGGCGGATGATCCGGAAGTCGGCGGCGGTCCGCTCGGCGCAACGTATCGAGTCGGCGGCGGACCAGCAGGCGGCGCGAACCCGCCCGGGGGAGCGAAGCCGCTCTGCGGCTGCTGCTGCTGGGGCTGACCATAGGCCGAATTCTGCCCATACCCCCCATTCCCCTTCTTGTCGCCATGATCGAATGCGCCGGCATTGTAAGCGGCCGCAGCACCCGCGAACCCGCCTCCGCTGGAGCTTGCACCCGGGGCTGAGTATCCACTCTTCGAGTCCGTGGCATAGCCGACCGAGTTGGGTTGCGAGAACTGCTCGACCTGGCGAGGCGGCAGAGGCGGCGCACCGCCACTAACGGTGGCCGCGGTGTCGTTGGGCCCGTACTGCGCGAAACCGGGCGCTTGCGCGTACCCCGTCTCGGCGGCTTGGAGGGCGAGGTTGAGATCCCTTGCTGCGGGTGGGGAGGGCACCTTGCCCGAGAGCTGGGGTCAGCTTGCACGTATGCACATTGAAACAGCTGTGGAATGGGACTGCTCAACGGCTCAACCATCGCTTCGTGTTCGGCTCGACTCTGCCTCGGCACTCAAAGGTATGCGATCGCAGAAGCTGTTGAAGACGCGCGGCTCGAGAACACTCACAATATCGGCCGGCTTGATGCCGGGCTGGTGGTACATGGCCTCGTTCTCATCGGCGCGCGAGATGAAGGCAGTGCCGACGACCTCGATACCGGCATACACCCCCTTCGAGCGCATGTACGAGTAAACCTGAGCATGCTTGTCGACCTTGCCGTCGTGGTCGCGCTCCTTCTTGCCGCCAAAGTTGCCCTCGGCGCCCTGGCCTGCGCCCCTTGGTCCTGCAGCCACCGACACGTCCGCACCGAGCGAGAATCGGTGGCTGCCGAACTGGCGCAGCGCCTCCTCTGTCCGGATGATGAGCACGGCGTCGTACACGTCCAGGCCGATTTGTAGCTGGCGTCAGTTGCAGCGGAGAGCCTCCAACTCACCCCTGCTGTCATCGAGGTCGGCATGATGGCCGCCGGCGCGCTCCAGGCTGTGTGTCAGCTCCTGAAGTGAACCGTCGAGCTGGCGCCAGCAACTCACATCCATCAGGCAAGCGCGCGACGACTAGGCCGCTACCCCCCGCGCCGCCCCATGGCGCAACACCAGCACGCACGCAAGTGTACACGGCGATACCCTTCGCGTCGCGCACAACGCTGGGCGGGATCTTGGCGTACTTGTGCGCGTGGTGGCCCGCATCCGCGGCAGGAGCATCGACAGTGAACGAGCGCAGGATCTTGGCCGCCTTCTCCATCTCGGCGGGGAAGTCGCCCGACGTCGGCCAGACGCCTCCAGCCCCCACTTCTGCCCGTAGCTGTTCACGGCCCCGCCGAGCTTGTCGCTGAGGCCCATTGCGCGCTTCGTCCACTTCGACTCGTGCCCGTGCGGCGTGGCGGGGGCCGAGGCCGCTTCGTCTTTCCGTCCGAGTCCGAAACCCATGGCGATGCTGTGTAGATCAGAGTGCGAAAATGAAAAGTAGTGAGAGAGAGAGGTCGTGCGATGGTGGGAAACTATGTGCGGGAGATCAATGATAAGGACCCAACAGCCTAGACAGACATTTCATTCATGCTCTTTATCCATGACGCTCGACGGAGTTGCGGCACAGGTAGCGACGCTGGGAGCACAAGATCTGGCAGTGCGACAATGACGTCGTCGATCGCAGCCGCCGGAATGTCATAGGGCGTCACAAAAATGTTGGGCTCACTGCGCCGCCGCTCCGCTTCTTGGCGCCGCCTCTGACGCGCGTCGCTGGAACTGCGCATGTACGCCGACTTCTGGCCGCGCTAGCGTGATGATCCAGACCAGACCGCCATTATCGATGATATCAGAAGTGATCTGCCGCAGCAACTACCACCACAGGGTTGCGCCAGTACTTGTTCGGTGGAGGCGCCAGACGGAAATGGCCGAGCGACCGGCAACATCCCGGCCATTAGCCGGCGGTTGATGCCGATGGCTCCTTGGCCCGATGGGCACGACGCGCCTGAAACTTGCTCTTTCATCTTTCAACTTCCTCATTCCTTTCGCTCGCTTTGACAACACGGCGCAACGCCCACGACATTGAAACAAACCGACTCCGACACTCCTTTGACACCATGGCTCCAAAAGCCATCATGGCGGGCGACGAGCACCGGTTCGACTTCCCCAGCCTCATCCTCGACCACAAGCCGCGCAGCAAGAGGACAGTAACCCTCGTCGACCTCGACGTGGACGTGTACGGCCTCGATGAGATCAGAAAGAGCAAGCTCCCCATTTGCGCAGTTGTGAGTGTGCCCGTCTGCGCCGCGGTTCCCGGTCGGTCCCTCAAGCGCTTCACTCTTCGTGATATTGCGCTTTTGACTTCGCTTCTGCTCGCCCACTGATAGCTAATCGCAGATCCTCTCGCATGGAAGATGTCACTCTGCAAAGATGATGGGCACGATGGCTTCCGGCATTCTCGGCGAGCTGGACCGGCTGCAGGCCGAAAGCGGGCGGGAGAAGGTGCGCGACGTGATTGTCGTTACTTTGGTGAGTGATTGTTCTCTCCATGCTCGTTATCCGTTGTGGTCGGCCAGAGCGCTACTGCTCCGGATCAATGGCCAGCTAGGCCCTAGGCCGTTGCTGTGATCAGCTTCTCCATTGCCTTCGAGCTCTCACCATCTCGTGACGGGCGTATGAGGTGTACCCCAGGCATCGGAAGTCTGCTCAGTGCTGTCGACGGAGCGTAACTCGCTAAGCATGGTCACCCAGGCGGCTCAAGCATTGGGTGCCGAAATGCAGGGCGAATACTGCCTCAAGAAGGCTGGCATTAGCTCAGGAAAACCAGTTAATGAGCTCACCTATACGTATGGGCTTTTCTATTGTCCAAGGACAATGGGGCTCGTTCATTTGGGACACTGTCCGAGTCGTCCGGGTTGCGAATGGTCTTCCAAAGCTGGGGTTCAGCTGTCATGGCGAACATCGCAGCTACCTGGCTCTGGTGTTGCGGACTAAGCTCTGTGGTCTGGACTTGCACCCAGCGTGCTTGATTGCCAGCGGACTGCTGTCAGCTAAGTCGCGCACAACAAACAGCTCACAGTTCTTTGTTACGCCATCGAGCCTTGAGACAAAGGATGGCCTTGAGCTGTCGCCAGTGTTACTGGCGGGGGAAAGATCGACCTGTCGCTGGACGTGAGCTTCAACAGGTGGAGATGGAAGCTCACCACTTCTCGGAGCTTTGGGATACGGGGTCCGCAACGGCCTTGCGATCAGCTTGCGACTTCTGGAGCAAAAGCTTACCTGTCCACTGTGCCATGGGGAACGTTTCTTACCGGAGTAACTGCAGTGAGCTGGTGACACGAGTTGTGAAGCTACCTGGTCGCCTCTGCGATCGCCTCTGCAGCCTGCACCTGTGCGAGAGTCGGAACTGTATCGTCGAGGGAGCTGCGTGGAGCGGGAGCTTCGGCGATACTGGCTCGCGCCTGGCTAAACTGGCAAGCTTACCCATCTCAGGCTGGGGCTGATTTCCGTCCACTGGTGTCACCTCAAGCCTGTGACGTCTGGAGAGCTCACCAGTCGAGCGGCTCCGGAAGATTGTCATCTGGTGTCAGCTTAAGCCTGGAACATCTGGCAGCTCACCCTTATTCTATCGCAGACTGAAACCAAAGCTCGCTTGCTGACCCACAGGACCACCGCAACCACGGCGCGCGGACGCGGTTCCGTAACACGAACTTGTCCTACGACAAGAACCCGACCCATCTGATGGATATGGCGGCGACGGTGTACGCGGGCGCACAGGACCAGAAGTTCATCATGGACTTCCTGCCGTCGTACCTATTCCCGCGGGGCGAGCGCACGATCGACTCCTTCGTGCCAGCCGGCGTGAGCATGGGCGGGCACTCTGTCTGGCGTCTGCTGCGTCATGACCCGAGCGTCCGTTTCGGTATTCCGATCATCTCGATCCCGTCAGAGGTGCTGGGCGTCAATCTCGAGGAGCGGGCGACGCAGTACGGCGTGTCGTCCGAGGAGCTGATCTACCCCGACGGCGTGCGGCACTACATGATGGGCGTGCCGCCACCAGGCGCCTACGGGGGGAAGAAGATCCTCGTCCTCAGCGGCGGGAAGGACGTGTCGATGCCGATCGAGAGGGCCGAGCCGATTATTGCGAAGATTAGTGAAGAGGCAGATGTCGAGTGGAAGGTTGATGAAGGGGCTGGACACAAGATCTCGCCGGACATGGTGCGCTGGACAGCGGACGCAGTTTGGCGCTGGACCGCCAGCAAGGAGGCGCTGCCCAAGGCCAAGCTCTAAGCTGGGCATGCAAACTCCCCTCCGCACTCGCTGCGCACCCGGCCGGAACATTGCGGGCAGGGTGTCGACGCGGCCCATCAGGCGATTGCGTGCTGCGGTCTGTTGTCTGGTTGAAGTGCGAAAGTGCCGAGGAGTAGAACGACCCAGATCCCCAGTTGTAGAAAGGAGTACCTAGATGTGAGAAAGCATGATAGAGCCAACTCCGCTTTGCAGGCGCATGACCACAGGTTGCATGGAATCAAGGCCGTGCCGGCTCCGAGAGAGGGAGCAACGCACATGTGTGCCGAGGAGGGTTGAGCGCAGCAATCGCCGGAAGTGAGCGAGAGTGCGACTCGACAGGCAGCTCACACTGGACGTCTTCTGCTCGACTGCCTTGCTGGTCAATGAGCAGGAGAGCGTTCCAGGGTTGCCCGTCGCATTCACTGCCATTTGACGTGCAATCAGCCTTGCACGAGGAGCGAGAGTGCTGGGATGGCGGCACAGCCATCTCCGAGCACCGTGAAGCGGCACAGCTTGACTTCTCGCGCCACCCTTGCACACCTCTCACGACACCGACACGTCGACGTGTCTGCCCCCCTAACTCACCCTTCCTCTCAATGAGTCCGACTGTCCTCTGATGGCGTTTGATGCTCGCCATCATCTCTATCCCTCTTCTTTCATTACCACCCTCCTTTACGGCACCTTCACAATAGACCAACCCTCCTCACTCTACCCTCTCTCCTCCCTCTCACGTTACGGCTGCCCTCGTAACCAGCCCTTCGTGCCTCCCCACCATCACCAACACTCGCCACTGCACTTTCCCACTCAATTCTGCCTGCCGGTCGAGGCGATGCGGTAAGCTGATGCCCCTTGAGAAGAGCTGACCTCAGATAATGCCAGAGCTCCGTCCCGTTCACTGGTCTATCCCAGGCTATTTTAACGGCAGGAAGACGCCTGCGATGATGCTCCTCGAGTCACCAGACTTCAACAAGTATGGCGGTGGTCGGGGCCTGAAGGTGATTCGCCTCTCACCCTCTTACCTCGCCCGTAAGAATGGGCCTGGCTGGAAGATGCCCGACATCCCCGCCGCCGCCCGCGCACACCTTCCCGACGGTCGTACCACGCTCGAAATGACTCGAGGCGAGTTTGCTTTCCACGTTAGCGAACAGTTCTACGAGCCCATGATGGACGCCACCGAGGCGTTTGCCGATCGCTTCAACGCCGTCGCTCCCGACCTCATGACGGAAGTGCTGCTGCGCTGGAACAACACTTACTGGCCCATCGATTGGAGCTTCTCCTATCAGTCCGTGTTTCTGGGACACAGTCGCATCATGGGTCCGCAGTCTATTAGCCAGGCCGGGTTCTCAGCCTTCGACTTGGTCGACGAAGAGTTCCTCGCCACGAAAGGCGAGTCCGGCGACCCGCTCTGCGTCTCCGTATTCCTCGACCCCGCTAAGCCTGGCATGATCCACGTCTGCGCTACGCTTCCTGTCCTCGACAAAGAGGTGGAGGATGACCTCAGCGCTCTCCTTTGCGAGATTCTCAACGCTGCCGCTATCGCTTGGAGGACCCGCACTCGCGCCACCCTTATCCTCCGACATACCGAGTACATCTATGTCAGCTTCGAAGAGTCGTCCATTGATCAGCCCATCCCCACCATCCGCATCAGCACAGTTCAGCACGACAACCCCGCCCACCCCAACACTTCGCCCCACCCATGGGGATTCACATTCCTCAACCTCGTCATGGCGAATCTCAGCTGGTGGTTCAAGGAGGGCGGTGACAAGCGCTGGCAGCCGTGCCAGCAGGACAGATACTACGAGAGGCATTGCAAACCCGAACACCTCGTGGAGTCCCCTGAATCTCAATCCGAAGCCCTTCCGACCATCGAGGAGGAGTCTGGTGAGTTGCCAACGATGTGGTGGATGCAGCTGACTTGCAGCCAACGAGAGCCAGGACAAAACCAAGAGCAAGGTTGAGAAGCGCACGATGCCCAAGGGCAAGAAGCGGAAGTCTAAGAAGAAGTAAACGTTCAGCATTGCAGTAGTGAGCTATTCGAGATACATCGCGTAGCTGACGCTCAGAGGTCCCTTGACCTTTGAAACGTGCCGCACCGTCACCCTTCGCATAATTGGCGAAAATACCTAAAATTGCCCGAATCGAGCCCATCGAGCCCGCGGGCTTTGACGGTGTGCCTTCATTCGCTGTTCCGTAAAGCGAGAGCACCGTAAGCTGTCTCCATGTCCCAGGTATCTGATAGCAGCAAAGAGACTCTGTCCATAAGCCAGTCCGAACGTTGGTAGCGACGATGGTGAGTTCAAGCGAAGACGGACCAGAACTAACAACAGCATCCGCTGCAGCTTCTTTGTCTCCGAGCCTTCAACAGAGCTTTGACAGGGACGCTCACATACTCGCTTGAAACACTGTGCAGCACAGTTTCAGTTCTCTCTACTCCAACTTCGGCGAGTCAGTCGCTAACTTGCGCATCTCTTCTTTCTTGAGCTAAGGCGAAGGTGAATCTGGAACACGGCCCATGCCACTCTGACTTTGCGAACAACTCGAATCGCTGCATCGGTAAGCTGGCCAGAGCCGATGGTTAGCTTATCACAGTGTGAGCTTCTGCATTTGTTTAAGCACCACAGAACAAGGCGCAAGTATACCAGTGAGCTTGAGGGCTTCCCGAACTAGCTGACATCAACAGTGAGGATGAAAGGTCAAGCACCGGACGACTTTCGATATCCTCACATGTTCTAATGCCTCAGAAGGTGGCTGCTTCGCTTTGACCTCGATAGCTAACGACAGATGGCGGCGGCCGAATTACGCTTCAAGTTCCATCACCTCCAGGCGGACTTGCACGTACGTGTCGGCACACTTGGTGAGTTCGAATCGTGGGGGATGTGGGGTCGACCAGCCAGACGCGCGTGCTTCTCCGTTGAGCCTGTGCCTTGCACAATAGCGCGGAGCGCGTTGGCCTTTGTGTGGTGAGCATTCGGAGCACGCATGGTGCGAGGCCATTGCAAAACTGATTTGGTCACCGCTGGCCGAAGCCTGTCTGGTGAGGGGATGCAGGATGTGTATATAAGCACGGCCGACACCTGTCCTGCTTCTTTCTCTTCTTCATTACCACCACTTCGACGACATCTCCCCCTTCCTTCAATCTGCAATCCAGGCACCCTCTCGATGCTCTTCTTCCCCTCAATCACAACTTGCGACTCGCAGTTTCCTCGACGACTCCTTCATAACTCATCTTAGTGAAGGACTTCGATGGCATTGCCCCTCAGCACTTCCACGTCACCTCACCACCCCACACAGTTCAGCAGTCATTCATGACTACCCGCCTCGCTCCACTTCCCCAAGTCAACTGCTATCAGGGCTCGGTCCTCTAGTCCACTCTTGCAACCTGCGTTAGAACCGGACAGCTTTCTCGGCCAGCCATGGGTAAGCTGCTCCTCCCCCTGCTGAAGCTAACATCACAGTATCAACAGTATCATTGCTTCTCCGGCTGTGTTCCAGCATGCCTCCTCGTCCTCCACGGCACGTCGGCATCCCCCTATGTGACAACAGACCACACTCCGCTGGCGGTGGCACTTCGCGAGAATTTCCGACATTTTGGCATGAACCCCGTGAGCTTCGAAGGCCCAAATGTCCAAGCTGACAGCAGTCCGGCCGCTGGGCACATCGGATAGAGCAGCATGAGACCGATTCAAATGCCCGACAAGAGTGAAGGCCTGCATCGCATCACGTTATCTTGTGTTCGTACTGTACGTTGCTGGCCGGGTCTGTAGGAATTCAGCTGACAACAGATGTCAAGTCTTACCTTGTCTCGCACCGCCTATTGTTCTTCACGGGTGAGCAGCTTCCAGGTCGTTGAGCATGAAGCTGAGTCCGCAGACTGCACTGTTATTCAAACGCGGGGATTCCAGTAAGCTACACAGATCGAATGATGTAGCTGATCATAGCAGCTGCTTAGACTGCAAGTAAGTCCGCCAAAGCTTGAGTCGTTATCAGCACCTATCGGCTTTCTCAAGAAGCGTCAAGAACAGCGATATGAATGAGTAGAGGCAAGGCGTCGTGATCCTCAACTTCCCTTCGGAGTAAGCTTTTGAGTCCTGAGGTTCAAGCTGATCGCAGTCGCTCGACCGGCTTTTCTTTCTCCGTACCTCAGTAGTGGTTTGAAGGAGGAGACAGAAGGTAAGCTGAGAAGCACCTTCCATCGAGCTGACCTCAGCTCTCGGATCCAGACACTGGGGTAGCTATGGCAAGCGAGTGCTAAAGCTGAGCCCAGCTTTTAACACGGAGTCTCTGTACGGCGATACCCAATCTCTTCACCAATAGGTAAGCTGTGCAGTGTTACATGAGCTGATGGCAGTCGTCACTTTCCGTGAGCTTTCTTGATCTTGATCTTTAGCTCACTTCAGCAAACCGTCCTCGATAAGAGAGCTTGCGGCTTGCCTCGACGAGAATTGGGTGAGCTTTGTTGTCGTGGATGATCAGCTCACCGTCAGAGCCTTGCACTGCTGTGGGATCAGTTCATACTTAGAAGTACAGGGGAGGTAAGTTTACACCGTCTCAGCTTCAGCTGACTTCAGGGGACACTTGAGTTAAATCGGTGTTTCCTAGCTGCGGGTGGCAGTCTCTCGGGGAACACGACTGTGAGCCTCAGTGAAGTTGGGCAGGACGCAAGCTGACTCCAGCTCCTCTCCACCGACCTCATCTTTGCGAGCTACAGGCCCGTGCCCTTGAGCCATCAACCCCGTCCCAGGCCTTTCAACGCCGTGTGCACAGACTTGGAGTGTAGCGAGAAGTAAGCTGCTCGCACCATAACGGTGCCGAGCTGACTCCAGGAATAACCTGGCGCAGTACGGGCGCGAGAATGTCAGCTGTCGAGAACGACTCCCTAGCTGACGGCAGAATCTCAGATGCACCCGACACGTGAGCTCACTAGTCGTGGATTAAGAGCCGGCGGCAGCACTCCATGCTGCGCTTCGTGAGCTTGATGGCATTCAAGCTTGAGCTGACTTCAGCCTCAAAGCTTTGAAAATCGGGGTCTGAGTCACGCCATGACTGAAGCATAGCCTTTAGCAGACCTAGCCTCCGGCTCTACACTAAGTAAGCTTAGGTCAAGTGAACCTCGAGCTGACCACTACTGTAGGTTCGAGATCGCCGTCAACTATGAGTCGGGGGGATCCATACTCCGGGGTACCTTGAGCTCAAGTTAAGTCGGAAGGCATTCTGTCAGGGTAGCTACACTGTACCGGATCTGTAGCTAACCTCAGAACCCGTTACGCTGCGATGAGGCTCCGTCTGGCCGGTGGATGAAAGGTAGTGCTTTCTCTGTGGGCGGCGGTGGAGGGGCAACCTGACTTTGTAGTTCGATTTCTGAAGCTAACACCTGGGAACCCATCGCTCCCTTGAGAAACAGCGTTCATGGATACTTTCCAGGTACTCTAACTCGTCTGCGTACTGATAGCTGACTCCAGCCTCTGCGGTTGGTTCGACAGCTCAGAATGCCGGTTCTGAAGCTGACGGCAGTGGATCAAAGTGGAAGTTCATCGTAGAGATGCAATGTGATGCCATTCTGGAGCCCCGCAATCATTACCGGTCTTTGCCGATCCAGAATCTCGGTCTCTTCCGTTCGACTCTCCCACGTTTATCTGGAGACCTGGGCCGTCGACGTCGTTCTCACTGATTCTCCGCACCTTCCACACTCATTCCACCCTCACATTTATCCAATACTCTAATAACCGCCTGAACGATCCTCATGTCGACAAGTGAGGACCCGTATGCGCCCGAAGGCGACCCCCGCCTCCTCCCCGTCCCCCTGTCAACGACGTCGGTCTGGCAACAATCCGTCGCCCTCGACCCGCTTATCTCGAATTCGACCACTCCACTCCCCGAGTCGGCCGACATTGTCGTCGTTGGCGGAGGCCTCTGTGGCGCCCTCCTAGCCTGGGAACTGCTCCAGAGGACGAGCGGCAACGTCGTGCTCCTGGAGGCAAGAGAATTAGCCTCTGGCGCCTCGGGCAGGAACGCAGGCCACTGTCGACCCGACGCCGGGCGGGGATTTGGCATGTTCGCAAACGTGCATGGGGAGGAGCAGGCGAGGGCGATTCTCAACAGCGAACGGACGGTTTTTGAGCGGTACGTCCCCCATCCCCCTCCTCTTTCCCAGCTGATAGAGTAAGGGTGGACCGGTTCATCCACAAGCACAAGATCGAATGCGAATGGCAGAAGAGAGAGACGTACGATGTCTGCCTGACCGAGGACTTTGCGGCGTACTCGCAACAAGCGAACGACGCATTCGCGCAGGCTGGTGGCCACCCGCCCGCCCCGCTTGGGAGAGAGGGTGCGCAAAAGGCGGCGCGGAGCCAGAGCGCCGTCGAGGCGTATGGCTGGGAGGCGGCGACGCTCAATCCTGCCGAGCTGACACTGGCGATCCACAAGTTGTGCAAGGACACAGAGCGGTACGACGCGTTCACGTTCTGTCCCGTTTTGGGACTGACGCCGGGCGTTAATCCGGACGTGCTCATCCGGCCCGACCCAGATGTCGAGTCACGGGAGGCGACGGATCCCGCCGAAACCCCCGGATGCGCCGGATGGACAGTCGCGACTGCCCGCGGCTCAGTGAGGGCGCGCAAGGTCGTATTGGCCACGAACGGGTATACGGACAGCGTGATGCCGATGGGCATCGTGCCGGTGCAGGCGCAGGCGCATCTCCTTTCCTCTCCCACGCCTCACTTGGACAGCTCCTACTCGCTCCGAAGGAGCATGAAGGAGTTCTACTCTGTCGCTCCCCGTCCCGACGGCACAGTTGTGCTGGGCGTATCGCGCCTGGGATGGCCTGAGGAACTCTTGAGACAGGCGGTTGGCAATGTGGACGACAGTACGTGGAACGCGACGATTGCTGCGCAGGGTCTCAACGCGATTAGTGACGTTTGGCCAAATGGGCCATGGAAGCACGCCAAGCCTGGGGATCTGCACCCACCTCCGGCGGGGGGCAGCATCAAGACTGCGACTGAGCGCAAAGAAGTCGAGGTTGACGGCCTCGAGTGTGCCTGGACTGGCATCATTGGGATCACGAATGATCTTGTTCCCGTCGTGGGGCCTGTGCCGGGAAAGGACAACCTGTTCGTCGCAGCGGGGTATAACGGTCACGGCATGGCTCGGATCTTCGTCACTGCGCCTGCGCTCGCGACGCGGATTGCGTCGGGCAAATGGAGGGAGGAGGATGGCATGCCCGAGTGTTTCCGCCTCACTCCCGAACGGTTTGCGAGTCTCACGGCCGACTTGAGTCCGAGCGCGAAGCCGAGCCCGGCGGCGTAAAACTGGCAGCAGTACGGTAGCAGCTGCAGAAGAAGGCGGATACTAGAACACTGATGCATGGAATGGTAGTGGTAGCGTAATGTGAGCGAATGAAAGAATGATACTAAAGAACCCGGAAACGTTATTGGTAAAATATCGAGCTACTGTGCTCGTGGTGTTTGGACGGCGGTACTGCCCCCACTCCCTCCGCTTGCGCCCGCTCCGCTCGCTCCGCCGAGCGGGAACAGAGTGTACAAGATCTCGTCAAGCACCCGAACCCACAAGTGCTGGTTCAGCCTCTGGTCCTGGATAACCGCAAAGGTGCGCTGCGCCGCTTTTCTCGCGTTGCTGCGTCCAACGACGTTGGCGAGAACGTCGGGGAGCAACCGCCCCAGTTTTCGTGAGGCACTGAGGCGTGTCTCTCTGATCTCCTCTGGCGTGCGTTTCGGACTCGGCTCCTTCCGCTTCCCGCCCGGCCACATATTCTCCTGGAACGCCGCGAGGAGCTTTTCGATCTTCTTTGGCTGGCTCGCTTTCCCCACTAGATCTCTCACTTTCCGCTCGACCGTGCTCCCAAGCACCTGCTGAAGGAGCAGCACTATCGCCTGCCGGCGCAGCCAATCGCGCTCCTTCAGGTCAAAGACTTCGAGGAAGGCATCGCATATCGGCCCAGCAAAGTCGCCAGCGTCATCGTCGTCGTCTGCGCCTGTGAAGGGGATCAAGCCAGCGACTTCCTCGGTGACGACGCCCAGACCGCCGGCCACCTCGGACAGCTGCCGCGTCAGGGATTGCGACATGATGTCAAGCATGGACGGGGCGAGCTCGACGTCGATACTCGATGCGACCGTCTTGTAGAGTGTTCGGACGAGGTTACGGGGTGCGAGAGGTCCTGCGCTGGACGTAGACGGCGTACTCGGTGCTCCGCGGGAGAGAAAGTTCTGTACCAGCGTTGAAGAGCAAAACAGGGCGCTGCCGAGAAGAGACTGGAGATACCGCTCGAGACCTGCGCGGCGTGACTCGACAAAGCCCGCGCTCGTGCTGGGGACAAGACGCTTGCAGGCATTTCTATCAGCGCCCTGGTGTCCGCTTTCGGATTCTCGGCCACCCAGTCGCGCAATGCACGGTCCAGAGCGTAAAACTCGTTGTACCGGTGTGTGATCGTCCAGCTCATCTGCACGCGTCCGTCGACGACCTGTGAGATCTCCACGACGTACTTGACGACGGGGCGTCCGTCGTCGCTCGCCTGCACTGTGCCGGGGAGCTTGACGCGGGTCCGCCCCGGAACGAGCTGGTTCGCAGCTGCATGCCGTTCGTACTGTGACTTCTGGAACGACGCCGCGCGTTGCTCACGCTGCAGTGACGATAGGGAGCGGCGGAGTAGACGTAGCTCACGTGCATTGCCTGTCAGGTCCGCCTGTCGGATCAGACTGTCTAGGAGGCGTTCCTGCTCTCCCAGTTCGGCGAGCTTGCGGCCGAGACGCTCAATCTCAGACCCAAGGTGCAGGTTCCCAGGCGCTGGGAGGACGGTTTCAGCGTCCGGCTCCCCGTCACTGGCCGTAGATGCCTCCTGCTCCTCGTCCTCTTCGGGATCTTCCGCGAAGATCGATTTCTGGCGGCCGTGCACGCCCTCGTCGCTGCCACGGCGGGCTGGCCTGGGCCTCCGTGTGCCGGGCGAGTACCGCGTAACTGGTCTGGCGGGACCGACGTCGCGCACACTCGTCAGGTCCTCAGCGCTGCGCGAAGTCTTCTTGCGGGCAGCTAACGGGTGTAGCCCCTGCAATGGAGATCGGGGTGCGGCCGGCGTCTGGGGTTCCGTTTCCGGCTCAAGGACCTGACTGTTGGACATCGGATCGGAGTCAATGATCTCCTCCAGCGCCGCCTGGATGGCGGCGATACGCTGCCGCTCCACCACTTCTTCCTGGTCCTCCTCGTCCACGAACAAGGGGTTGCGCTCGGAAATTTCCTCCTGCGTGCCAAAGAGGATATCGAACTGCGCTGAATGTCGTTTCGTTCCCGGGGAGAGGATTGTTGATGAGTGCGGTGACGCACGAGGCGACGCGCGCCCCGAGTCTAGGGCGGCATCGCGCAGCGATGTCATTGACGAGTCAAAGTCGTTCGATGTCACTGGTGTCGCCGTCTGCGAGGATGCGGCCGGCATGAAGCTGCCGTTCACGAGGAGGGGACGACGTGCCAGCAGCGGCGAGGCAACAGGCGATGGCGTCGATATTGGCGGGCCATCTGATACTCGGCGCTGACCCGAAGGCGAGAGACGTGCTGTCGAGTTGCTGGTGGAGATGGGCGGTGTGGAACCCGAGTTCGCTCGCGGCCGGTGCGAGTGCTTCAGGTCGGCGACCGCCTTGAAGTACAAGTCACTCTTCTGGAAGGTTGACCAGTCCTCCTCCTCCATGAGCTCGTACACGGCTCTCTGCGCCTGATACACTGCAAGTTTCGCTCTTCTCGTATCGACTGCGCCGAAAGGACGGGTTGTGTTCTGGCCCAGCTCAGAGATGACCTCGACCAGCCGCGCCGGGATGTCGAGTCGGCCGCCAGATTCGGCAAAGTAGGCCGAGTACAGGAACGCAATGTCGTCGCCGATCGTTGCGTCGTTCGCACCTGGTCGATTGCCGCCCTCGACGACATTGTCGAGCGCAAGGTTCTGCCCGCTCGCTTCGAGCGGGTCCTTGAACCCCTCGACCGTGAGCCAGAATTGGACGAGGTGTGAGCGGCCGCGTCGCTCCATGAATTCGAGCCAATACGCGAGAGACGACGGGTCAGAAAGAATGCGATACAGCGTCGGCTTAATGTTCTTGCTGGGAGCAGGAGCGGCAATCTGCGGGACCTGAGTGTCAGTTGCGAGGCATAGCTGTGCAACTCACAGCATCAGCAGAGACCCCCGAGAGCTTCTCTATCCGATGATCAATCGCACCGCGCGCCCGCTCCAGGCGATGCAGATACCGGTCAATGTGCCGGATTGCCTTGTCGTTGTCGGCGCCGTCTTCCTTGCTACGCTGCGAAGCTGCGCGGAACGCAGCCCGCGCATGCCGGTACTCGCGGTCAATGTCGGAGCGTAGCCGCCGCGCTTCTCCCAGCGTGCGCAGCTTTGTGATCGAGCGCATGAAGTCCTCAAACTGTCGTGGCGTGGACTGCACGCTGATCGGCTGCACGGGCGGCTTGGCCGGCGACGAGCCCGACGCAGGCGCGGGCACCGTCGACAACGCCGAGAGGACCTGGTTCACTTGCTTCCTGAGGGTTAGCACATGGAGCCCTTTCGCAACCCACCTTTGATGCAGGTACTTGCCACCCTGCTCGTTAATTTGGCGGTTCCAGAAGTCAGGTTCGGAGAGGAGGTTGAAGACGGGCATGAGAATGGCGCCGAGGACAATCTCGCGGACGATAGTGGTGAGGACGGCGCTCTGCTCCTCGAGGGGCACGACGGCAGAGACGATGCGCTCAACATGACCACGCAGGTGTGCCTCAATCGCAGGAATGTTGGATTCGGCGCTCGTGTGTGTGTGGTGCGTGAAGGCGGCGTGCGCATCCTTGGGCAGAGGGAGGGGGAGGGCGTCGCTGGTGCCGATGCTGCCAGCGAGATGCTCCACATTCTTGTAATGCGCAATATGCTCCGTGACGAGAGGCAGGACCTTTTCGACGCCGAGACTCGGCCAGTCGACCGTCTCGACGCGGGTGGAAACCTCGCCGAGCGCGTGCCGAATGACGCCCTCGACCTTGTTCGGGAATGCGGGGGCGCGGCTGATCTTCGAGAACCAGGGAAGGATGAAGCTGCCGCGTATCAGGCCGAGGACGGTGCTCAGCCTTGCGGCCAACTTTGGCTCTTCAAACCCATGAACTGGCGGGAAGGAAGGCTCTGGGTCATTGTCCAGTTTGCGCTTGTTTCGGTACCAGCTCCACTGTGGATCCGTCGCGAGGGCAAACGGGCGCGTCGCACTCGCCTGTCGCTCAGTCAGACTCGGCGCGTCTGACCGCTGTTCCAGATAGTTTGCCGCCAACACAAGGCCGCACACACCGAGTGACAAACAGAAAGTCGAGACCAAAGGGCCGAGGACGAGAATCTTGAGTGAGTCGGTCTTGATCAGGACGCCGATGACGGCTATTGTGACAGCGAGGGCTGCCCATGCCGCTGGCCGGATGCGGGGCATGTCGTGTTTTCGATCAAAGGAGAGTGTGGAGGCGGCGAGGAGCCTCGCCACCCCGTATGGCGAGATACGGGCTGGAGTTGGCCGTTGGTGAGGACGGTGAAAGGTTGGTTGGTCGAAAGGAGGATCGGATGGTGAAACGTCGACGGCCCAACGTCATGCCCAGAGTGGCAAGACCCGCCGATCGACCGAATTCAGCTCCAAATCGGGTAGCTCTCTCCAGCACCTTGCCGATCCTGAACACCTTATCGTCACCTGCGGCCTGTGCGTTATCCGTCACCATGCACGCAGTGTGCACAGTACGCATAGATGGAAGAATGTGAGATGCATGTGTGCCCAGGCGGTCGCCCGAGTCGCAACCAGTGATAGATTAGAAGTACAGCTCTAGCCTCGAACAATCCATCGCATCCCCCAACCGAGCAAACGTCATGCCCCTAGTCGTCACAACTCCTATCGTCCCGAGTCTCTGCACAAATCGTCCCCTCGTCGCCCCCTGCTTGAAAATGTGTTGAATGTTGCCAAAATGTGTCAGGTCTCGTCCAAAGATCTTGTATCCCCGCTCACGCCGGCACTGGCTTGCCAGGCGGGGCGGGCGGGCCGCCCTGCTCGCGCTTCTGAATGACCTCGACCTGATTGTCAGTTGATGGTCCAAGCCTTGCAACTCACGTAGTTTCCGGGGAACCATCCCATGCGGCCGTCGCGCGTTCGTCCGCGCCACCAGCCGGCCTCGCCTCCCTGCCCCTCGCGGCGCTCGAGGACGGCGACAATCTCGTCCGGCGCCAGACCGAGCTCCCACTCCTCGTTGGGGCGGAAGTCCCACCGCGCACGCGCAAAAGTGAGCTTGCTCGGATCGATGACGCCGTTCGCGTCCATGACCTGGCCCTGCTGCTGCTGCTGCTGGTTCGCGATGAGGAGCTTGACGAGCCGGCTCATGAGGTACGGCAGTCCGATGGCGGACATGAGGAAGAGGAGCAGCGGCTTGGCGCTCGGCTTCGGGGTGTTGGGGCCGCCGGGGAGGCCGTGGCTCCACTCGTTCGCCCAGCCCGAGGGCGGGGGCTGCTTCTTGCCGCGCAGCCAGTTGATGATTCGCCGTCCGAGGCGAAGGATAGAGAACACTCCCAACACCTGGCCCAGATACGTCTTCAGGCTGCCGAGCTGGTCGGCGACACCGACCATCGCGAAGAACGACGAGTGCGTCGCCATGTACGTGCTCTCAACAAGCTGGGCCAGCGACGTGAACGCGGTCACGATGCTCTCGATGATCGCGAACGCGGGTGCAGTGCTCTGCTGCAGCGACTGCGTCATGTTCGGGTACCCCTGCTTGTCAGCTTTGGACACCTACACCTCCGCTCAGCTCACCTCTCCGGGCACACCCATGCCGCCGACACCGTATCCTGCGCCCATTCCGCCCATACCGTATCCACCTCCGTAGCTTCCATACCCTCCGTATCCACCATATCCGCCCATGCGGTTGAACGGCGACGAGTACGAGTATCCGCCCATACCGCCAAGGCCGGAGCTATACCCTCCCATGCCGTAGGGCGTCATACCGTACGAGGACTGGCCGTACGTGGATCCGTATCCGCCATATCCGCCAACTGCTTGTCAGTTTGGGCTACGGGTTGCCAACTCACTGCCGCTGTTCATCATGGAGCTTTCACCGCCGCCGGAGTCCGGCCGGTCTGTCCGGTAGCCGCGGGGCGACGGTGGAGGAGGACGCGGCGACGGCCGAGTCGGTAGTGGTGGTGGTCGCGGGAGCGGGGGACGAGGTGGCCGGCGCAGCGGGCGCGGGGGAGGAAGCTGATCCGGACTTGGCTTCCCAAGGCTTGGGCCTCGGCGGGAGCGATGACATGAAGAGCGCTGGAGCGCGGTCGGGGGTGGGGAGTAGAAGGGTGAAAAGTGGCGAGTGCGCGCTGTATGGGCTGTGTGTAGCGTAAGGAGAGTGGGGGGGTCGGACGTGCGAGTGCGACGCAATGAGATACAGTCGATGAAGTCTGAAGGAGGAAGAGAGAAGAAGTCGAGAGAGATGGATAGAGTCGACGGTGGAGACCGCCGTGCGTTGCAGCCTGCCAGTGTGGACCGGGCGGAACCTTTGCGCATTAGCCGGCGCTCTCTCTGCGGAGCCCACCTGCTTACACCACCACTGCGCTGCACAAAATTTGGTCCCGTCGCCGCATCAGCGTACCACCAGTAGGCTGATGCGGCCCCATACGCGCCATACGCACGCGGTCACTCGTCCGGACGCCGGTTTCGTCATTGTTGTTCCCCGATCCCCATCTCCGACCCTCCGACCACCACCATTCCACCACTCGAGCAAGATGGACACGGGGCTCTCCTTCCCGCTCGAGACATACTATCCCCCACGACCCCCCGAGGGCCATGCGCGTCTCCGCGTCGTGCGCAAGCCTTCCGACAGAGTCCGCCAAGCCGTCCGAGGTTAGCTGGTCGTGCTTCCCCGAGCTAACCGCAGATAACAATGTCCCCCTCCTCTCGCGGCTGCAGTACAAGTATGATCTCCGGAACACGGACAAGCGGCGGATAACGTCCCTCGCCTGGGCTGCTTTGGAGCTGAATCTGGAAGTGTTCGAGTGGCTCCTCCTCGACTACGGGCACGACGATCACGAGCTGTCCCGCGACAGTGCGCACAACACCATTTTCCACCTGCTGGCTGCGGCACCAGCACCTCCCGCCCTGTCGCCGAACGCCGAGATCTGGGCCGGCGCTCCCGACTTCCCTCCCCGCCCTCAGACCCGGCCTCAAGCCGAGCTGACCGACATCTGCCTCCGCATGACAGAGGTGTACTACACGCTCTTCCCCTTCCTGCTCGACTGGAGCAACAACCGGGGCGAGACGGCGCTACACGTCGCCGCGCAAGCCGACAATCCAGCCTTTATCGCCTGCCTCATTGAGCTCGGGGCGGATCCGGATCTGGCGGATCTGGACGGCAACACGCCCCTGCACTGCGCGGCGTCCTGGGGCCATGTAGCCTGCATACGCGCGCTGCTGGAGCGGGGGGCGTCCGTGGCCCTGCGCAACTTTGAGAACTTCACGCCAGCGGACGTGGCGTACAGTAACTCGGTCCGCGCTGCTTTCGACAATATGGCGCGGGACGTGGTCGAACTCCGTCGGCAGAGGAAGCTGCTGCAGCAGCAGCGCGAGGAACTGGACGACTATGACGGCGAAGAGGAGGAGGTAGAGGACCGCTTCGATCCGAACCAGCGCTTCGACCCGCGCTTCGATCGGTACGGCTCTGGCGACAGGCGCCCAAGCGAGGGCGCGATGGAGCGGACGGAGAGCGAGCGGGGATTCGGGCGGAGAGAATCCGTCTCTGGCCGCCGGGAGAGGGCTGAGCGTCAGTATGGCGAGGGCGAGCTAGACAGGCTGGAGCGGATGGAGCCGCTCCCGTCCCCGAGATCGCCGCGGGGTGGCCGCTTCCGCTCCGGCAGTGGGAGCACGGCCTCGCACACTGGCTCCCGCTCCAGCTCCCACTCATACAGCGACCATCCCCTCCCGCCTCTTCCCCTCGAGGCCCAGCCGCCCCTTCCCCCCCTCCCGGACCGGTATGCGCGGTACTCGCGCCCCGGCAGCCCGACCCCGATCGCCTCGCGGCAAGGATCCGAGTCCCACGTGCCCATGCTCGCGCACCACCACTCAGACTACACCCCGGAGCAGATCCAGGCCATGCGCCCCGTCCCGCCCATGCCGGTGCGTTCGCCCAGTCTCCCGACGCCGCCGAGCTATTCCCCGCATCCCTCCGGGTCCGGGCCTAGTTCGCCGCTGCCCCTGCCCCAGTTCCCGGGTATGCGGAGGACGAACTCGGCTCAAGGAAGAGGGCACATCTAGGAGATGCGCCGGGCTGCGAGCACGCCGGGACACCGGGAGCGGGAGAGGGCTGGGCCCAGGATTGTGATTCCGGAGGACTGTGAGGATCCGGGGGAACAGCAGTCCGAGACGGAGGAGGGGAAGGAGGAGGGGAAGGAGGAGGGGACTGGAATGGGGACGGAGAAAGTAGGCGAGAAGAGCAAGAGACGAGGACTCCGGATCGCGATTCCGGACCGACTCCTCCCTCTCGATATCAGGAGCCCGAAGGCCAGCCCCAGTCCGAGACTCACGCCTGAGAGACTACACGCGTTCTTCCCTTTCTAGCCTGTCCGCCTGGGCCTCCTCTCATCTCATCCCATTACCTCTCCCACTCCCACTCGAATACACACGGGTCCTATTCCAGGACAGGCAGGACAAGCAGGACAAGCAGGACGAAAATAACAGAACAAAGCTAGACGCTCACAAGTTGTATCCTGTACCAACCTCCTGTATGAATATGTGCATATCCCCGTCCCCGTCCTCCTCTTTGCATCGTGCGACATACAGTCCTCGGCCCTCGGCGGGGTCCAGTGTGGAATGAAAATAAAAATGGGCATAAAATTAACAGTGACCACGAGAAAGCTCCGCAAGGCCCCTACTTATCAATATCTATGAGATACACGCGTGCCAGAGCTTGGGCAAAGGTGGGCGCCAGCCTAGTGCAGCCCAGCGCGTCGAGAACCCACTACCCGCCGGCCAAGGGCTCGCAGCTTGGGAGCTGAGGTGCTCACTCGGGGCTCGGCGCTCGCCTTCGGCTCGCTTAGGCCAGACCCATCTTGAGACATCCCCCGACGACATCGACGGCGCTCCAGTCGGCCGGCTTCTCTTCTCCCTCGGCGTCGTCGGAGGGCTCGGGCGCGTCGCGGTGCGCGCGCTGCTTGTTCTGGATGTACCGGAGCGTGTTCTTGAAGTGCTGCGTGTTAGCTTCGTATACCGGGTTCCCAGCTATCCGCCATCGTCGCTCGCACGCTCGCACGCTCGCAACTCACCTTAACCACCATATCCGGCGTGTTCACGCCGTCGACGAGCCCCGGCGGCGACGCGCTCGAGGGATGCACGTCTGTGCTGTGCACGGCGTCAATGTTGGACGTGATTAATTCGACGAGCGAGTTGATGTATTTCGGCGTGACGGCGTCGACCCCTTGCTCAAAGTAGTAGATGTAGCGGTCGAGCGCGTCGACGTACAGCTGCACGCTGGTGAGCTCGTCGATGCACCCGGTCGCGATGCGCAGGCTCTTCTGGAGACACTCGAGGACGCGCTTGCCGTCGCGCAGGGGCGGGTTTGGGCGCTCGTCCCCGCCCGTCTGCCACCACATGTGCGACGCGTAGAGGACTGCTGTCGCCTGGTGCCCCTTCTTCAGCAGCTTGGAGCCGTGCAGCGCCGCCTTGGTTATGAGCGTGTCGTAGTTGTCCGCCCCGAAGACACGCGAGCCCTGCAGCGCGCTGATGATGCCCGTGATTGCCATGAGCTGCGCGCGCGACTCGCTGATGCTCTCCTCGTAGATCACGAACGCCTGCACGAAGAACTCGTACGTCAGCTCCTCCAGACCGCACTCGTCCGACACCTGCGCCGCGAGCAGGAAGAGGCGCAGGCAGATCTCCGGCGCCTCCACCTTGGTGTACAGGATCGAGATGAGGCGGTGGATGAACTTGAACAGGCTGCTGATCCGCGGCTCCCAGTCCTTCTCCTCCGACTGACGCGCCTTGAACCGCCGCGCGAGCTGGATCGCAGACGTGATAAGTGGCGGGAACGTCCACCGTATCCTCTCCCCGCCATCGGCCAGCTGCTTGTACGCCGTCTGCAGTAGCTCCTGCTGCACGCCCAGGTCCTCAGTTCGGAACAGGTGGATCATGCGCGCAACCCAGCCCTGCTCCTCGGCGAGCTCGCGCAGGTCAGGCGGCGGTCGGCGCGCAGGCGCAAGCGACCCGCCCTGCGAGTCCTTCTGATCCCGCACCAGCACGGCACACAGTCCGAGCACGCCCTCGACGTCGTCTGTCGTCTCGATTTGCGTGTTGTTCTTCAGCACCGAAGAGACAACCGCGTGGCTGATAGCCGCACGTGTCGTGTACGGCTGCACAGACAGTAGGGGGATATAGGACGGGATCGCCAGCAGTGTGAGCACCGAGACGTAGGACTGGATCGGCGCCAGCAGCAGCGCAAGCAGGTTGGCGGCTGTCGGCGGCGCATGCAGGTCCGGGTTTTGCTGGTACTCGCGCACCTTGCTCGTGGCGTACGAGAAGATCTGGTCGATGTACTCGAGGTGGTCGGGGTAGCAGCTGAGCGACAGGTTGGCAATCGACACGAAGAGCGCGGTGATATCCTGGATCGAGAGGTCGGGACGGGCCTGGAGTCTGTTAGTCGACACAAACCTTTGAACATACCTTGATGAGCTCCACAATCTGAGCCCAGAACACTTCGAACAGACGGGCGTCTTCCGGGATGCCACGGAACGTCTTCGGCTTCTCGGGGGGCGTGGGCGGCTTCTCCTCGGCATCGGCCTTGCCGCCTTCCTCGCCCTCCTTCTTCTCGCCGTTCTCCGCCTCGCCGTTTTCAGTCTTGCTCTCTCCATCCTTCTTCTCTGCTGACGGCTGGTCTGCCCACTCGTCAGCCTCGGCGGGTCTCGGCGTTGACGGCTCCTCCTCCGCTTCCGGCGACTTGCGGTCGTGCAACCGGACCTGCTTGACGCGCTCCGCGAGTCGTTTCGTGGCCTCTTCCTCCTGGCGCTTCTTCTCCTCGGGATCCTCGTTCTCCGCTTCTCGGGCGGCGTACGCAGCCAATCGGTCGATGAGCGCAATGACGATCTGCTTTACGTTCACACGTGGGTGGAGCTGGGCGACCTTGGACAGGAACGGCGTGAGAGTGTGCAGGTGGAACTCGTCCGGGAACACCTGAATCACAACCTCCATCAGGTACTCCTGCGCAATCACGTCCTTGCAGCTCACAACCTGCTCGAGCACGGCGGGAAGGATGATGCGCTGGTACATGTCGACGTCGACGCCCTCGAGCTGCGACAAGCGAACGAGATTCGTGCCCACGAGAATTCGCAGGTCCCGTCGCTCGGTTTCACGCTTCTCGCGTTCTCGCGAGTGTCCCTGGTGCTGCAGCCTGACCCAGAGCTTGTTCATCTCGATGAAGTTGGTCAGAACAAACCCGATCGAGTCCTGCAGGTCACCGGCCGGCCTGGAGTCAGTTTCAATCGTATCGCCAGCTTACCCATCGACGTTACCGACGGGCAGGAAATCCCGGGTTTGACCGGAAAGATAGTGCCGCAGGAACAGGCCGCGAGTCGGGTGCTGCACTCCTCGTGACATTTCAAGCATGTCCTTCATGATCTCGCGAACAGGCGCATCCTGGATGGACATGTAGACCGATCCGACGGTGATCATGAGGTATAGACGGGGGACGATGTTGCCAGCGTATCTGCAGGGTTAGTGTGCTGGGTGGCTTGGCGTTCTGGCTTCCGACAGGCGGCCGCAACTCGGAGCTCTCAACACTCACTGGACTAGCTCGTAGAGGTCGGCAAGGTGGTGTCTGCCATCGATGTGGGCCTCGTACAGGTACGAGCTCAGGTGGCGGAGGCTGTCGAAGACGGACATGTACAGCTCGTAGTATTGTTTCGGAGATAGAGACGAGGTCCGGAGCTCGGACAGCATCGTGGAAGCAGCCTTGAGGGCCTCCATGATTTCGTCCAGCTCAAGGTAGCGCTTGAGCTGGACGGTCTGCACCTTGACGACATTGAGTGCGTCTGCGAGGATCTTTGGATCCTCTGGCACGGCCATGGTGGACGATGGGGTTGCGGGATGGTGGTGGTGGTGATGACGGTGTGTTCGGGTGTGCGCACTGGATCGTGGTCGCCGCGGCAGCGCGTGTGGTAGCGCTTGGCCTTGGTCATGGCCGTCATCTCGCGATGACGGCACCTATTGCGGGTGTGTGATTGATAGCGATGGTCCCGCGTGGCGTGGCGGGTGGCAAATAGTGATCATATTGACACGACATGATGTGTCGCGTGGTCTTATGTAAGACTGTATACGGGCGACGGTCACTCAGGGGCTGGTTAGTGTGCACGAGCCCGATATAGCACGGAATGCGTAGCCAAGCCTGGCCCCACACCTCCACTCTGTGAGCCTGGGTGGCTGTTTGGGCTGTTTGGTCGAAATTAGAAAGTGGGCCTGGAGCGTTCAGGACTTTGGGACCGAAGCGAGCGTCGAAAGGATGCGCAGGTGGTGAGACGACCAAACGTCGACGATGAGGGATTTTTGAACAGCGAGTAAACGACGAGGGGAGAGAGAGGCGACAGGAATCAGCACTGATCTAGGAGATCCAGGACTCGAGCATTCCTTCATCTTTGAGACTATCCGCTTGCCCGCCCAAACCCGTACACACCGAAAGAATCCAGCTCGGGCATCGACATCTCACCCACCCACCCACCCACCCAGCGCAACGCCTCTTCTACGCACGTTTCTCTTTTCCAAACCTCAGATCCCTTGGTCTTGGCATCGGCAAGTCGGCCAGTTACCATACCCGCTAGCGCCTCGTGCCGTTCAATCACGAGCCGACAGTCTTCTCTTGCCAGTCTCGTGCACACCCCCCGCGCAGCTCGCAGCGCACAGTCATCGTCCTTCTGTGGGATCCGCTAGCGCAGCCCCTTCCCCACCCGACCCGCCTTATCTTCTCCGCATCCCCACGCCCTGGCACGCTACCCTCTCTACCCCACGCTCCCGCACGCACGCACGCACACTCTCAACTTTTCAAGTTGGTCACGACTTGCATCCAACACCATCCCCATATCCATATCTCTTGGCACCACCGGGCCCCCCGTGGTAGAGCCTCCCCACAACCCCCCGGACACTGCTGCGACCATCACCTCGCACTCGCCAGTCACCAGTACCCAAGCGCACCCCGCTCGTAGAGCACTTACCAGCTCCCGACTTTATTAATCCGCCTTCCTCGACACATGGCGGGCCCCTCATCCTTCCTCACTAACACTTTTGCCCTTTCGACTGAGGGAGTCGCTACTGCTCCTTCCGTTCAATAACACCAACCCTCCCGGGTGCTCCCAAGCACCTAACAACCCACCTTCACCATGGTTCATCTCGATATTTCAGAGACCTCGCAGGTGTTGTCCGTTATTGGCGGATACATCTGTATTGTCGGTCTTGTGAGCTTCTTCCTGAAAGAGAAGATGTTCATGTGTGAGTCTTCACTTGCTGCGAAGTGCCTTCCTCGGCTGACATGCACAGCTGAACCTCTCGTTGCCTTACTCATCGGCGTCGCCTTTGGGCCTATCGGTGCAGACATATTCAATCCATTCCGCTGGGTAGGCTATGACCAGCACCAGCTCGAGTCTCTTTCTTTCCAGGTTTCCCGCATCGTCATTGCCATCCAGGTCCTGTTCACCGGTATCTCGCTTCCGAAGGCATATTGCTGGAGGCACAGACTCAGTCTGTTCGTCCTGCTTATCCCTGTCATGACTTGCGCCTGGTTCGTGTCCGCTCTCCTTGTTTGGGCGTTCATCCCCAACCTCACGTTCCTCGAGGCGCTCGTCGTTGGCTCGTGCGTTACTCCTACCGACCCTGTTCTTGCCAACTCCATCTGCAAAGGTGAGACTTTGTTTGCTGCTAGTGAGACACTGACGCCAAGGTCGTTTCGCAGAGAAGTATGTGCCGTTGGAGGTGCGCAACATCATTCTTGCCGAAGCGGGTGCCAACGATGGTCTCGGCTTCCCATTCCTGTGAGTTCGTGTGCAACCTTCCCACTGATCATAGTTTCATGGCCCTTTACATCATGTACTGGAGGACCCCCAGCAACCCCGTCAGCTCGCTCGGAGAAGCCATCGGTCAATGGTGAGTAAGAAGTCGCGAGTACGTATGCTGACTCTTGCAGGTTCTATAACGTACTCCTGTACCAGATTCTTCTCTCTGTCCTTATCGGCGCCGTTATCGGATACATCGCTCGCAGGTGTCTGAAGTACTGCGAGGGAAGGAAGTGAGTGCCTGACGTGTGTGTGTGCATCCTTCTGACCGGTGGCAGTCTGATCGACCGCGAATCTTTCCTCGCGTTCGGTGTCGCACTCACCTTCTTCACCGTCGGCTGGGTCGGCATCATCGGCTCGGACGACATTCTCTGCTGCTTCGTCGTCGGAAACTCTCTCACCTGGGACGACTGGTTCCGAATCCGCAGCGAGGAAGACAGCTTCCAGGAAGTCATTGACATGCTACTGAACAGTGTAAGCTTCCGCGGGTTCGTCCATCGTAGCTGACACACAGGCCGTCTTCTTGTACATCGGAGCTGTCATTCCCTGGAACGAGTTCGGCAACTACTGGGACATTACGCCCTGGCGTCTCGTTCTCCTTGGTATCACTGTCATGCTCGCGCGCCGCCTTCCCTGGGTTCTTCTTGCGGTGCGTATCTCACTAGTCGGCAGTGACTGACTATCTCGCAGATGAAGTTCATTCCCCCCATTTCGTCTTCTTGGAAGGACGCCCTTTTCACCGGTTACTTTGGCCCCATCGGTGTCGGCGCCGTCTTCTACATTGAGGTCGCCCACCACGCCATCCCCGACGACGGCACCCGCGAGCGTCTCCGCGCCGTTGTCGCTCCGGTCGTTTACTTCATGGTCCTTACCTCCGTTATCGTTCACGGCATCACGATCCCGATCGGCAAGTCGATGCAACACACGCTCACACTCACTCGTTCGAAATCCGGCGCTCAGTTCATTTCGCGCCTTCCCCCTCCAGTTCCCTTCGGTGGCGCCCTGCCCACTCATGACACAAACGCAACCTCTGAGCCTAAGGAAGCCAGTGCTCGCGATGTCGGCGTCCACGATGACGCAACCGCTCCGAACAGCGGAACTGGAACCCCCGCCGCTTTCAGCCGTACCAACACGCTGTCCATGAGCCGCACCAACACCATGACTCAGGGTGTGCACTGGGGCGAGAACACGGTCGGCCACAGCGTGCAATCCAGTGGCCGCACCTCGCCCAGCAACAACGACAGCACCTCCCACTCATCCAACCCCAATCTAGTCCAGCCCTCGACGCACGCCATGGTCCAATGACCTGTTAATCCGGCCTGATCTGCACTGATCAGGCATATGCATAGACTCATTCATCCAGATAGACTCCTCATGGCGTGCCCCTCGGGCTTACAGTATATCACTAGTATCACTATGATGCAATCATGACACAGCTTACAGTCAGCCAGTTCGTAAGCCACTAGGCTCGTGCGTCGTGTGTGCACCCGACCCCAGATCAACAATTCTTGGCTCGCAGTTTCTTGGCAAGTACACAGATCACCGTTGTCGCTCGGCTACACATGACAACAGCTCGTGCTCGCGCACATGCCGCCTCATGTCAGAACATCAGAGATAAGCATCAGTTTGAGGTGCACAGTGCAGAGCCCATGCGAAGAGAAGCAAACGATGTGACTCGTAGATAATCGCTCGCGTGACCATGTCGTTTCTTGGCGCGGCAGTGCGTCCAGGTACGTCTGCGTACGTCGGGGCGAGACGGCAGTGCGCAGCGCCCCATGCGTGCTCATGTCGGCGGATGGTCGGACGAAGAGGACAGCTCGGGGAGCTCAGACCTGACCAGACCCAGTCCGCCCCCCGACGATGCCGCCCGTAGTGCTGGTCGGAAAGTCTCCGTAATCCTCTCCTCCGGGCCTCGCTTTGGGCCGATATGGGCAAAGTACTGTAGGAGCTGCCCATCCGCCGGGCGCCGGCATTCCGTCCTCAGGCTCAGGCTTCGTAAGTAGTCTCTGGCTGAGTCAGACAAAACAGAGAATGGGTGCGAGACACTCGTTTATTTCCTTCCAGTTTCAGTGGACTCAACGTAGATGTGTCCGACTGTGGGTTGCATTCTCGAGCCTCCCTACGTCTTGGGTCTGCCAGTGCGGACATGCACCCCGACAGCGGCCCGGTGTCAAAGGCAAAAGGCAGAAAAGGCAGGACGGGCGCCACTCATTGATCGCGTCGAAGCAACCGCGCCACTCCGTCATATCACATGAGTATTCGGGGAATGCTGTCTCGGACATGATACTGTAGACAGAGCACGTGTCCTCGGCATCTCGGCGCCGCTCAGCATGAAAGCGGAGCCGCCGAGATATTCTAGGACCAGCGCCGGGATATATCAGTTCTTGGCGAGGGGTCGTGCGTTCGGCGACGGCAGCGGCAGCGGCAGTATGCTCTGATCCCCGAATATGACGGTGGCAGTGCGTTCTGATCGCCGACATGAGGAGCGGCAGTGCACTGCGCCTCCGGCAGTGCGGCGTGGGCGAGTCGCGGAGAGCGGGCCGAGGAGTCTCCGCGGCGTTCATCAAGACGCCGCCGATATGAGGATTCGGGGGTCAGGTGGGATCGGCGCGGGATTGATCAGTTGATTCATCAGCCTCGGCGCCGCACTGAACGTCCGCTCATCCCCGTTTCCCTCGCAGCTGACGTCCCTGACGTCCACGGCAGCCTAGTATTGAAGGCAGGGCCGAAGCCTCGCACAAGTGGGGGAGCGATAAGCGGATCGTGCATGCCCAAGCCAAGCCCACATAGACGCCCCAGTCGTAGACGAGCCAAGGCTTGAAGCGGTGTCCGAACAAGCATACACCGCAACCTCTTGGTGCCGATTATTTGGGGACTTCATGAGACATATCAAGTCTTGGCGGCGGCAGTGCGTTGTTGAGCACTGCCGTGCGTCGGCGGCAACTTGTGCCAATACTCCGACGAAAAACGAGGACAGTGCACCTCTCGGCGGGCGCGGGCAGTGCGTTTCTCGGCGGCGGCAGTGCGTTCCTCGGCAAAGGTCAGTGCGCTGGGGGCGAAGAGCGCGGTGGCGCCGCGAGCCGCTGTGCGTTCGGCAACGGGGCGTTAGCGGCAGTGCACCCAGGTAGTGCGTAGACTACTCTGCCAACGATCATTACGGGGACGGATTGAGAACCCCAGCCCTGGTAGAGTTTCACGTGATGGAAGTGATTCTTGGCGCCGAGCGTTGCACTGATGCTCGCCTAAGCGACAATAGGTTGACAATGGGGAGCGGCAAGATGGACGCAAATTCGTTGATGGGGGAGGCGGGGGACGTCTGTACATAGCCTATGGCCTCAAGCAGAAGATAGCAGACTGTCCAAAGCAGCTCGACGCTGATTGTAAGGCAGTGAGGCTGAAACTGCAGCGGCGTCTTTTGCAGAGGATTCCGTCACACGAGCACAATGACGTTACCCCCCAGTCCTCCTCTTGTGTTGCCACCACTGTGCACTGAGGTCGCTTTTCACCAGCCGTTCGGGGTTTCCTTCCGCTATTCATGCAGATACCAGGCATTGTGAAGCGTGCATACGCGGCTGAACACAACTCAATACATGAAAGGAAATCCTCTCTGTGGAGTCATGGGCGAGGACTGATTCAAGACTGTTGTCAGCTTACTTCCCTAATTGGAGCAGCTCGCAGTGGACTTAATGGATTTGTTGAGCTGTTGAAGTCAGCTTGTATGCTATGCCTGCAAAGCTGACCTCTTCACGGAGGCTGGGCAAGCTAGTGCAATACCATCTGACATGCAACACCCTCACCTGATGTCAGCGTACTATTCATCTCCACGCCAGCTGGCAATCGGAGATTCCATCTTGACCGTTGCCAAACCCTTAGGCGGCCGCCGTCCGCAGAACTCGCAGCCCATATTGGACATAGGTGAGTTCCTAAAATAAGCTATCGTCTCGTGTGACAAGAGCTGACATTGAAGGGGCTCCATGGCAACCGCACCGTCGTGTGCTCCCCGGTGACGTGGCCAAAAAGTCGATTGAGGGACGCGCTGTGGTCACCTAGGCATCGGCATCCATTCAGCTCACGCGTCTCCAGGTTGCTAGCCGGTATGCTGCCTCGTCCCGCTCGATAAGCTGATAGCGCAGGCACGTCAGCGGCCAGGTGGGGCGAGGTGTGGGAGGTGCGCCACTCGTAAGCTGTCCATGTGTTGAAATGAAGCTGACACAAGGGCTTGACAAGACAGGGAGCGAGCGTGAGCTGGGAGTGCTTGCAGTCCGATGCTAACATCAGAAAAACTACAAGGGTTTGAGAGTGTGACTCGGAAAATGCCGCTGTGAACGCAAACGGCGCGTGATGAGGGGCGGTGTGCAAGCCTACAACACTGCCCATTCTCCCCTCATACAAAAGACGTTCGGCTAGATATGGCGTAAGCTAACGCGCGGGGCAGAGCGAGCTGTATTGAAGCCTCGCATCAACATCGAGTGTCGACTCTCTGAGGAGGACCTGCTTCGTTAGCTATTGAGGACACCAATTATAGCTACTTCATGGGGCCGTGTTCGTCAAGAAGTGACCAGTCTAGTCTAACTATCAGCTGCAGCAAGGAGACAGTAAGCTTACCTTCACCATCGGAAGAGAAGTTGCTCTGAGGGGTGACGAGATGTTAGTAGGAGAGCGACCACAACCTGTGAGCCTTCTTGTCAGCTACTCATGGACGAAATATATAGCTCACTGTCTGCTCTTCCCCCTCCCGATTGAAAGTCTCTGCTGTGTGTCAGCTAGGAGTACCATGACATGAGCTTACCGAGCTCCCTAGACGGCACGAATCGGTTTGGCTGGGAGAATAGAGGGGATAAGGCTTGAGGTGGGAGTGGTAAGCTGTCGTGGTGTCATAGGAGGATGTCGGTTGGTTTTGAGGCAATGTGAAAGAATATGAGGAGAGAGGACGTGTCGACGTGTGCGCGTCCTTCTTATAGTCTGCAGAGTGGCCACTCGGTCCTCATCCACCAGCGGCATCTATTCCATCCCCACGAAGCTCGCAATAATCTCGCACCTCCGCAACCCCATTCCATGCAGCGCGTCGAGCTGCGGAGGGGAATGAGGCTGTTACCCCTCTCGCGGTGCAGACCGACGCAACCTCTTCGCACTGCTCGCTATGGGACAATCACTTTGCTCCCGGAACCCAGGTAGGTCTTGCTTTCTGGGCATTCCCCGGTCGTGTGAGTAAATGAGTGAGGACTGAGGGGAAAGCTGGGACGCAAGCAGTTGATCGAAGATACAGCAGTGAGCGCTTATTCTCAGTGGTCCGAGCGTCGACAGGATACATAAGGCTACTATAGATAAACAATACGGCTTCTCGTCCTGTATGAGAGACTAGGCTCGGGTCTGCAAAGGGTTAAAGGAGAAAGAATTATGATACATACTGTCTGAGAGACGCACGCCGGTTTCAACTACAAGCTACATTCACGCAAGGAGAGCGAGGGCAGCGGCTGCAACAAGCAACCCGGCACTTGCCTTGTTGGCGTATCCAGCGCTCCAGTGGCCAGTCACATTGTTCAGGCGGACCGGGTACAGGCCGAGACCCTCGATACACGGCTTCCAGTACTCGTCGTAGATATTGTTCTTCTCCGCCTCGTCCTTGTGGAAGATGCAAGCTCCCCCAAGGGGCTCGAGGTACGCCACGCGGTGCCAGTACTTGTCCGCCTTGTCGCAGCATTCGTTGACGAGCTCACTGTTCATGTCGAGAGACGAGAAGAGGACGCTGTTTTCCTTCGGCGCACTGCTGTCCTCACCGTTGAATCCTTTCGTGGAGATCGAAGTCATGTTGACCTGGCCGTCGGGCACGTCTTTCTGAGCAGTGGAGAGGAAGTCAGCCCATGTCGTACACTGTGCCAAGCCCGGGAGGAGCTTGCCGTCGGTCCCGTTCACGGCGATGGACGTGTTGTTGCCGGCCTCCCCGTCCCGGATTCCGACTTTCTGCACGCAGGCGTCCCATGCGTCGCCTCCTGTGGAGTTCACCCAGCAGGCACCCTCCATGTGCGTCTTCCCGTTGAAGGCGGACTGGCTGATGACGCCGCCGTTACCGCAGCAGGACCATGTCGTGTGGGCCGACACGCTGGAGCAGATGATGGCGTTGTCGTTTGGCGGAGACGTGATGTTCATGAAGGAGCCCGGAAGAATGTGTCCCGAGGCGCTTTGGCCGATAGGAATGGGCCTCGGGTTCAGAGGGGCTGAGGAAGCGGACGCAACAGCGGACGTCATGTTGGGGGGATCGACTGTTGATGGACGGTAGTGTGAAGGAGATTGTTAGGCTATGTAGCTTCCGTGCAATGAGAGAAGACGTCGTGCTTGAAGACGAAAGGCGGGGTACCGACATGACAACGCTCATCTGTCTGTTATATCCCCTTGGACTACCCGAGAGAACTCTTGCTCGCCTGCTGGCACGCGACTGTTCTGTGGATCCTCAGCTGCTTCTCCGCGCGTGCCTGACAAGCTAAGCGTATTTTTAGCGCTTCGGCGGCGGAGCTCCTCCCCTCGGACATCGTATCGAAAGCCTGGCTGGTTCCTGGCTGCAAACGAGCCAAGCGGTGAGCGTACAAGCTACTCAAACCTGTGCTACATTCACTTGCCAGGGCCGACAGAATGACATGGGAACGTACAGCGGGCACGCCAGGCCGGCAATACAGGACAACGGTCCTCTCGTGAAACGCGGCCGACGCGTCGGACTCGGCATCCGCGGCGTCTTTACATTCAGGGACGTGCATGGTCATCGACCAGTCCCCGCAAGAACGGCTCCGATTCAGTCTCGAGGCGATGAATGTCCTTCTTTGCAACAACGGAGCCCACTCCGAAGACAACGGCGAACGATGCTCAGCACAGCACCGACGGGCTTCGGTCTCGCAATTTCGCAGACGGCGGCGCGCGGCGCCAATCTTCCAAGCCACTATCCTCAAATCGGGGAATTCGTCTAGTGGTAAGACGCGGACTTCGCATTGCTGAGTGTCTGAAACCGGTGTTCGATTCACCGATTCTCCAAAGAGGCTGTCTCTCGAGAGAGCCTCGTTTTTGTGCGCGACTTATGGGACCGAGGATGGAGGAGTCTCAGGAGTGTTCATGTGCAGCGAATTCCGCATCTATTGATGATGCAAGTCTATCCTTATGCCAGCAGGGCGAGCGCTGCGGCAGCAACGACCAGCCCAGCGCTGGCTCGGTTGGCGAAGCCCGCGCTCCAGGTACCCGTCACATTCTCGATTTGGGCGGGGTACGCGTCGAGCCCCTGGATGCATGGCTTCCAGTACTCCTCGTAGATGTTCTTTTTCTCGGCCTCGTCCTTGTGAAAGATACACGCGCCGGACGAAGTAGTCGTGAACTCGGCGAACCGGCGCCAATACTCGTCCGCCTCGTTGCAACACGTGCGGCTGGCATCCCTCTCGGCGTCAATGGTGGAGAACAGGACGCTATTGTCCTGGGGCGCGCTGGAGGGGTCGTGCTTGTCCTTCTCCGATGTGTAGACAATTGTGATGTTCTCTTGGTTATGGGACGCGCCGGCCTGTCTCTCGGCGAAGAAGGTGCCGTAGGGCGTACACTCGGCGAGGCCGGGGGTGATCTGCCCATCGGTTCCGTTCACGGGCACTTCGGGGTTGGGGTTGTTCGGGTCGGGGATGATGCCAGTTCGCTGCACGCACGCGTCCCACTGCGTCGCATTGCCGCCCCAGAGACATGCGCCCTTCATGCCCGTCGTCGCGTTCTGCGCGCTGTAGCTTAGGCGGTCCCGGCAGCAGTCACGCGTTGTGACCCAGGAGGCGGAGCTGCAGATGAGCGTGGCGTTTGCGGGCGGCCATCGGGTGTCGAAGAGGCGCATAGACATGGTGGAGAAGCGTACGCGCGTAGGTGGCAGCTGAGAAGAGAAGATGTCGCTCCGGGCGTGGGGCAGCAGTTATGTAGGCAAGGCAGTAGAGTCAAGAGAGGAGTCACGACTGCCTATATATCGCTCTTGTGTCGTCTCGCCAACGAACTGCAGGACGAGTGAGTACCTGGCCCGTTCCTGTACATTGTTGACGTACAACGAAGCTCTGTCGCTGACATCTGCACATTCATGATTCAGGGGCGACAGTCTGCAATGCGGGCACACGATACCCGTCCATACTCCTAAGCAGAGAGGCACGTCCGCGTCGGTGACCCGCAGCCGGAATCTTCGTTTTGACTCCAGGTACCAGACTGGGAAGACTCTCTGAGGCGATGAGAGAAGGTGGACCTTGTTCGTCCGTGTATAGAGCATCCTCGGGGCTACAGCACAGTCATGAGTCGGAGACCTCTCCTGGCTATTGAGGTACCGTGAGTCACACTGCAGGACACGAGATCTGCAAACCAATTGTCTCGATACACGGCTTCGGGGACCCATTACGGGCCCACTGCCGAACATGCTCAGAGCATTCGGTTACAAGACGCTCCGGGAGAGTCATGCGGATGACGTTCCAGTCATCGCCGAAGTTGCGGGTGACGGCCTCGAAGCAGGTCCGGCACCACTTACGGCCAATCACTCAGCCACGGCGACGAGGACTTCCATCATTGCACAGGCGTCGCTGTGCATCTATGTTCTGTTTTGAAACCATCGCCCTTATTCTGCGAATATGACACCGCGTTCAGAGTATGATCTCCTCCATGAGAAACATGGCAATCATCGTAGCCCACCGGTGGTGCGAACGGCTTGGAGGGGTCGAGAAAGATCTCGAGAGCTATGCACGTATTCTGTTACATTTTGTGCACTACGCTTCCTGCATGTGAGCCTGAGTACACAGCCGGTCAGTGCGTGAGTGCGTCCCAAGCTCCGGGGCGGGACTGGGGGCGTCAGCAGTAAGCGCGCGGCAAGCAGGGTGCGTGTCATATGATACATTGTACTTGATTCCCATCGAGTCGATCCTAAGCGTTGTAGACAGTAGCGAGGTCCTTGAAGCCCTTGACCTCGATGGGGTTTCCGCTCGGGTCGCGGAAGAACATGGTGTACTGCTCGCCGGGCTGGCCCTCGAAGCGGATCTGCGGCTCCATGACGAACTCGGTCTTGGCGTCGATGAGACGGTCGGCGAGCGAGCGCCACTCGGGGTACTCGAGAATAACACCCAGGTGGGGCATGGGCACCATGTGGTCGCCAACCTTGCCCGTGTTGGTCGTCTTGAAGGGCTCGCCGAGGTGGAGCGAAATCTGGTGCCCGAAGAAGTCAAAGTCGACCCAGGTGTCGGTGCTGCGGCCCTCGCGGCAGCCGAGGACCGACTTGTAGAACTGGCGCGAGACGTTGAGGTCACGGACGTGGTAGGCAAGGTGGAAGAGGGAGCGGGGAGCGGCCATTGTGTCGTTGTTGTTGTCGTCGTGGTCGTGGAGAGAACGGCAACAACAAGGTGATAGTTTATATGAGACTGGAGTCGTGAGCAAAGTGGAGGCCGGGCGCGAAGTAGAAAACAAAGGGGGGAGCGAAGCTTGCCGGTGAAATCCGAAAGTGGTACGTAATCATTAAACACGTGATTGGACCTAGCCGCCCAATGTGGAGGTCAGCACAGGGTGAGTGGAGGCCGAAGAGTCGGACCTCGTCGGTCGTCTGGCGGAGACAACAGACGCCGCAAGATCTGTTTTCGAATCTCCTCCTGGCTTTTCGAACGAAGGTACTTTTCTCGACTCAAGGGGTACGAGACTCGTCGGTCGATGTCGCTTTGAGCAGAGATGATATGTGGAGGATCCTAGGTCCGAAATCGGGACAGCAGCGCCGATAAGGCTTGCGGACTGACCAGCAACTCACTGTTAGGACGTATAACGCCGCACCTACGCCGTCATAGAACACCGCTCCGATGAAGTGCAATCAGCAGTGTTCAAGATCCCGCCTTGTTCTTCTTCGGCAACTCGTCAAACACGTTGTGGAGCGTAGGACTAGCTCTAGTCGCTCTATAGCAGGTTGTGCAAGTCAATACAAAAGTATTCTCAGTGCACCTAGATCGTTGATCGTAACCTGATTCATAACTTCTGACACTACTTGACCCTATGGAGAAACCTAGAGAGAAACCTAATGACCTAATGTGTTGGTGGTTTGGTGTGGTGTGCGGCTCTACGCCGCTTTCTAGCTCGCTAGCACAGCTCGAGTGTGTGTGCAGCTTACTTCTTGTGGTACGACTCCTGGAGGCGGTAGACGGGGGTGTCGAGGCCCTCGTAGCGGGCCTTGAGCTGGAGGGCGAGGTAGAGCGAGTAGTGGCGGGACTGGTGGAGGTTACCGCCGTGGAACCACAGGTTCTCCTGCTGCGTCGGCTTCCACATGTTGCGCTGCTCGCCCTCCCAGGGTCCGGGGTCGAGGGTGGTGTTGGAGCCGAGGCCCCAGACCTTGCCGACCTTGTCGGCGGTCTCCTGGTCGATGAGCTCGGCGGCCCACTGGTTCATGCTTCCGTAGCCGGTAGCGTAGACGACGAGGTCGGCCGGGAGCTTCTGGCCAGAGGCAAGGACGACACCGTCCTCGTCCAGGTGCGAGACCTCGCCCTTGGCGAGCTTGACCGAGCCGTCGGCGACGAGGTCGGCGGCACCGACGTCGATGTAGTATCCAGAGGCACGGCGGAGGTACTTGACGAAGAGTCCCGAGCCGTCGTCACCCATGTCCGTGTCGAAGCCGGCCGAGGCGAGCTTGTCGTAGAACGCCTTGTCCTTCTCCTGGATCTTCTGGTAGGTAGGGATCTGGAACTCGTGGATGATGCGGTAGGGAAGCGAGGCGAAGATGAGGTCGGCCTTCTCGGTGGTGATACCGTTGGCGAGGGCGCGCTCAGAGTAAAGATCGCCGAGGGCAATGTCCATGAGCGAGTCGGACTTGACGATCAGCGTAGAAGAGCGCTGGACCATGGTGACGTCGGCGTCGTGCTCCCAGAGAGCACCGCAAATGTCGAAGGCCGAGTTGTTCGAGCCAACAACGACAACCTTCTTCCCCCGGTAGGCGTCGGGGCCGGGGTGCTGCGACGAGTGCTGCTGCTCGCCCTTGAAGACATCCTGGCCGGGGAAGGTGGGGATCTTGGCCTTGCCCGACATGCCGGTGGCGAGGACGAGCTGGGTCGGGCGGAGGACGAGGTCCTCGCCGTCCTTGGTGACGCGGACCTCCCAGCGCTTCTCCTTGGGGTCGTACGTCGCCTTGTGCGCGGTCGTGTTGCTCCAGTACGGGACCTCCATGACCTTGGTGTAGAACTCGAGCCAGTCGGCAATCTTGTCCTTGGGCGTGAACTGGGGCCAGTTGTCCGGGAACTTGATGTAGGGGAGGTGGTCGTACCAAACGGGGTCGTGGAGACAGAGCGACTTGTAGCGGCCACGCCACTGGTCTCCGGGGCGCGAGGAGCGGTCAATGACGACCGAGGGGACGCCGAGCTGGCGCAGACGGGCGCCGAGGGCGATACCACCCTGGCCACCACCGAGGACGAGGACGTACGGCGACTCCTCACCCGACTCGAGGTTCTTCTCCTCCAGCTCCTTCTTCTCCTTCCAGGTGACGCGGTGCTTGTTGGCGCCGTGCTCGGCACCCATCGGGCGGCGGGTGCCCTTGGGCTCCTCGTGGCCCTTGAGCTCGGTCATGGACGTGATGAGCGTCCACGACTTAAGCTGTCCGTCCTCCTCCTTGAGGCGGTTGATGCCCCAGCCGCGGCCGTACTTGGTCTCGAACTCGAACCAGGCGGTGACGACACCATCGGCCTCGTCGGCCTCGGTCGCCTTCCACTTGGTCGGGCCGGCCTGCGGGAGGGTATTATCGAGCAGGTCCTTGACGCCCTCGGGGCCCTCGACCGTCGTCAGGTTCCACGAGAACGCAATGAGGTCACGCCAATACGACTCCTTGCAGAAGAGCTGCGAGGCGCGGGCAGTGTCGTTGCCGTCGAGAGCGTTCTGGAGGGCGTCGAACCAGCGAGTCGCCTTCTCGAGGGCAGTGCCGGAGCCGGCGGGGACGTCGGTGTTCTTGGTCATTATGAGGGGGAGGGGGGTGTCTGTCTTCGAACGCGAGGAGGGGAGAGAGACAATGTCTATGGAAGAAGGATTGCTGTCGAAGAGAAGGGGCGTCTTATATAGCTGGAAATTGTGGTCGAGGAGGGTATAGAGTGTATGCGCGGGCGCAGATACACAGGGTTAGGGGGGCTGCCCGTGTGAGACCGGACCGACGATCCGCTCAGCTTGTGTGTAACCGTGGCGGCGTGAGGTGCGTGAGGTGAGCAGCCGGCGTAAGCCGTGAGTGACTGTTGGTTGGCGTGGCGTGCTCTGGGGCATCTCTGGGGAATCACAGGGTCGCGAGCGGGGGAAGCGGGGGACCCAGTCAGCAGGCCCAACGTGTTGATCTGGTGGTGCAGCCGCCGTGTGCCGCGAACGCCGGCGGTGTGAGACGGGCTGCCGCACAGGAACGGCAGCAGGGCAGAATAAGCTCAGAGGTGCGCGCAAGGATCCAAGTTTGAGTGGGTGAACTGCGGTCGAAGCCTGCGGCAGAGACTGCATGCACTGCACTACTATGCATTCAAGGCGGGGGACGCGAGGTGGGCAGCATTCGCGTACAGTGCGTTAATGCCCGGGTGGTGGGTGCCTTGGGCTGACAACCGCCGGTTCGGACGGGACCCCACAGGTGGTGCAACTTTGGCGACGCTTTAGCGAACCGTTGAGCGTGAACAGGCGAAGTCAAAGTGCTTTTTTACAACCACCGATCGAACTCCCCCCTCTCTTGCCGTGACCTGCCGCCCCTGCCGCGCCAATAGCGTCTAAACGTCTAAAAGCCTCTCTGGTCTACCCCTGCTGCTCGCTTCACACGCTCGACCTGTGCATGCGGTGTGCCTAGCACGAGGGTCTGTCGGTCAGCAACCGTCGGCAACGCGCAACGCCCAAGGGTCGGTCTCAACTGTCCGGTCCGATATCGGAGCCATCCCTTGCATGTTAGAGACCGAGCATCCGAGCGTCCACTCACAGCTCGACAAACGCCGATACATCGCTAACTCCTCCTGCTATTCTCATCCACGGGCTCCGGCCGGTCACGAATAGTGTGCAGCGGGTGAGCGGATGTGCAGTGGGTGAGCGGGTGCGTGCGCCGTCAGACGGACGAGACGGACGAGCAAGCGACAGAGCACGACAACGAGTGCTGTCTGTGTGAAGCGCATCACGCTCCGCTAAGCTAGGTTTGGGAGTACACACCGACCCCGAGCGAGCCCGAGGATGAGCCCCCACTAACATCGTCGTTCAGCTCTTCCTCCTGCATCTCCGCCAGAGATATCGATCGGTGTTGAAGCCCCGCTCAGAAAGCTCAGAAATTGTCTCGGTGCCAAGCTCAGAGTTCCGTAGGCTGGCTATGTCTCGCCAAAATGTGTTCACATGACCAGCCTCAGTAAGCTTCCCAGCACGCCAGCCGTGTTTCCAGTAATGCAATTCAGCAGTAGTCGTCGCCTTGCCCCCCCTGCTCGTTCGCCGCACGGAATGTCATCCTGAGCAGCGAAACTCCTGATGAACTCTATCGTCTCCGTGTGTTGGCCGCGCGAAGCCGTCGAAGCCGCCGGATCCGCGTCTCCTGCGATCTGACTGGCCAGTCGGTCGGCCATGATCGGCCTCATCGGCCAAAACGCTCAAAGATATCTGGGTATTGCTGATTCCCGGTGGTTGCGGGTGCAGAATTGCGGCAAGAGCGGCAGTGGCAGGCACCAGAGCACCTGAAGAGGCACACCTCGTGACACCTTCTCGTAGGTACGGGTGGGGGATCGGTGGGGGATGCGGCCGCTGTCCCGTATGTCCAAACCCCAGAGATCTTTCGATCACTTTACTATGACCCCGGGATCACGTTTCGCCGGGGCACTCATGCGCTTTCTCTGGGCGCTGGGCGTTCAAGCCTCAATGAATGCAGAACTGCCTTCTTCAAGTTCCATGACTGGTTAGTGCGCCTGCAGCCTGGGTGACGCACAGCGCACGTACGGTGGCTTGGCGAGGTATGCGAAATCCGGGAGGCGTCCTCGTGAGCGGGGGAGGCGTCCAGGTATGCATCTGACTGGCTGGTTCGTGCAAAGAGCCCGCAGTGGCATGCATAGCGACATGAGATGGCCCGCGCAGATACGACGGAAGCGACAGGCGGACACTGATACGACGAGAAAGAGAAAGCAATTCCGGGGCGGACTTGGGATGTTCCTTACGCCCGCCGTGCACCCAGTGCCCGGTCTGAAGCCGTTGGCGGGGGACCCTCCGCCTGCTCTCCTGCCCCCGCCGAACAAGCACGACAACGCGTGCCCGCCCCACTCAGCTTCAGGCTGATTGCACTTAGAATAGGTAAGGAAGCGTGGTGGTGCGTTTCACATAACGCCATCTCAAGCTTGCCTACGAGGTTTGGTCTGACTCGTGTCGATACTTCTGGCATTCACGCAATAATCCTACCTCTCTCTCTCACCCGCTGCCCCTCCTCCGTGATCGCTTCTGCCCCGCACCTCGCTTTCTCCGCGCACGCACTCTTCCAACCACCTGTTTGACCAACACGTTGTGCACGTTGGCATCGTGTTGGCCCTCGTGGGTAGTAGCGACCGTCCGCGAACCGATGTTCTGGAGCGTCGATCCTGTCGATCGGAAAACGGCTCCCTTTGATCTCGACTGCGGCTGAGGGCGGCATGGCTCGGTAAGCGGGGGCAATTCTCCTCGCCTCCGTGGGGACCCACCCACTCTCTCGGTTAACTCGCTAAACCCCCCCCCCCCCCCTGGGCACCACGTGGAGCGGAGTCGTCGGCAGACTCCGGGTGGCGAAACGGCCATCGACGCCGCTTGCATCACGTGACTCACCAACTCCGGTAATGGGACACGCGCTAGTGGTCCGCAATGTCCGGAAATAGGAACATCCTCCGGCTCACCGGCACGGCTCCTGTCCCATTCTTCGTCTGCTGCTGTTGCTGCTGAGCCCTGCCTTACGCGGACACTTGAGCGCCTTGAATGCATCGCCACCCACAAGTCTTCCCGGCTTACAAGCATGCGCATGACTGTAGACTTCGCCGCACTCCGTCCTAACCGCCGCGTCCTGTGTCCCGGGCGTCGAAAAATGTCCTCGTGACGGCCATCCCTTGCTTCTTGATGGATCCTTCGTGGACATTGACATCGCCGCGTCCTTTAATCACCGCAATCCACACCATCTGCATCTTGGCATCGCACACTTCGTCTACCACATTACCCGGCAAACGAAATGCTCGCCATCGACGACGTCGCGGAAAGCCCCATCCAGGGCCAGCTCGGGAATGACCACAACGGTGCCGCCAACGGCAAGGACGAGGTGTACAAGGGAAGTGAGTAGACACAACTTGCATCAGCAGCTTCGTGTAGCGACCTCCAAGCTGACAGACAGAAAACCACCCCTGGGCCGTGAACCCGGCGACGCGCCTGAACCACGACACGCTGATCAACCTGATTCCGACATTCGGGATGATCCTGCTCACGATCGCGGTGAACAAGTCGCAGTGGGGGCAGGACTTCTACCGCTGGTTGAACGCAAACTACACGCCGTTCGAGATCAACACCTGGTGGATCTTTGGCATCACGACGGTGCAGTACTGGATCACGGGCCTGATCTTTTGCGCGTTCGACATGAACGACACGCTGCACAATATGGTTGCGCGCTTCAAGATCCAGCCCCAGCGCCGCATCACCTGGGCCGAGTACAGGCAGGTCTTCTATGTCGTCGCCAAGAACCAGCTCCTCATGGCCCTGCCCCTCTCGGCCGCTTCGGCCTACATCGCCCCGCGCCCGACCAGTCTCCCGCTGCCGGGTGCTTGGACCACGACGTGGACGTACTTCGTGTGCCTGTTCTTCGAGGAGGCGGGCTTCTTCCTCGTCCACCGCGCCGTCCACAGTAAGCGGTGGTACGCGTCTGTGCACAAGATGCACCACCAGTTCCAGGCCCCCGTCGCCATGGCGAGCACATACTGCACGCTGACGGAGCACCTGTTCTCCAACCTGCTGCCCATCATCGCCGGCCTGTGGCTCTGTGACGCGCACTGGTCTCTGGCCGTCATGTTCTTCACCTCGCTCCAGATCGGCACGCTCTGCACGCACTCGGACTACAACATCCCCGGTCTCTATGACGCGCTCCAGCACGACTGGCACCACTACTCCTTCACGGAGAACTTTGGCCCGACCGGCCTCTTCGACCGGATCTGCGGAACCGACAAGAACTTCAAGATCTGGCTCAAGGAGCTGAAGCGTCGTGATGCCGCTGGCTGGAAAATGAATGGCCGCACCGAGCTCGTTGACAAGACGCAGTAGACTCTGCACGAGACGCCAAAGGCGTTGAGTCGTGGGGCCGTCGGGCCGTCAGTCATATCCAGCTTCCACAGGCCCCTTGAGTCGGCGTCGCGATGGTGCGCACCCCATCACTTTATATTCCCTGTATGACATTCTATCCATACCAACAATGCAACCGTGTACATTTCGTGAAACTTGTGATGAGCCAAAGCGCTTTCAACTCTCGCAGTCGCCCAGGAACTATCACGAACCTGGGTTGACCTCTGTTTGCACATCTCGGAGCCTGTTGCGTGTCGGACGACGCCGGTTCCTAGCCGCCAGGCTTACGCGCATCTGTGCCTCTTCATCATTGTTCTGCGACAGTCGGCCGGCCGGCCGGTCCATATCCAGGAGTAGTAGGTACAGGAGCAGGAGTGCGCCATGGTGGAGACTGTGGAGAGGGTGGATAGATCTCTGGTGGGGCCACGGAAGCAACCCACAGACGAGTGAATGTCGACTCGGAAAGTCAGGACTTGCTTACTCAGGCTGACCACAGCCAAGCCAAGCATGCCATGTCGATCATGTGCATGCGGGCATCACGGTTCAACTGAAAAGATCGACCGTCCACCTCTCCCTCCTTCCATCACTTTTGAACTCTACCGGGCCGCGCTCTAACCAGTCTGCACTGAACACTAATAAGCGCTAGCATACGGTGTCGGTACGAATACATACGACGGATCACGCGAGCGTAACGAGCCTCAGAACGGAGATCGGACAGGAACGAGAGCGCCCGAACGGCGATCATACACCGACTCACGGAGTACACAACCTACCCAAGCGGGCAGGAAGAAGACAATGCTGCGCGCAACAGCGCTCGAGGCCGAGTCCTCCTCGGACCCCAAGCGGGTCCACCTAGCCGTTGAGATGGACGTGGTGGAGCTGGCCGACCGCTCGAAGCCACCACCCACCCCAGTCGCGGAACCCGAGTCCGTCGGCGTAGCCTCTTCGGTGGCGCCCTTGCCCTCCCTCCCCTCAGCACCGGACTCTACGGTCGCCGATGCTCCCACTTCCACAGAAGAAGTGGTGCGAGTGGAGGAACTCCCACCCCCCGACGGCGGGTTTGAGGCCTGGCTCACTGTCGGCTGCAGTGCGATGCTGTCGTTCTGGTTCATCGGCGTCACATACAGTTGGGGCGTGATCCAATCCGCGCTCGTGGACCGACATCTCGCCCCCGCCTCCACACTCGCCTTCATAGGCTCGCTGGCCGTGGCCAGTCTCTCCCTGCTCGGCATCGTGAATGCGCGTCTGCTCCGCTCCATCGGCGCCCGCCCCATGGCCCTGATCGGCACGGCGTTCCTCTCCCTCTCTCAAATACTCGCGAGCTTTACGACGAACAACGTCGGCGGCCTCTTCGTCACGGCCGGCGTTATGATGGGCATCGGCGTCAGTCTCGCGTTCATGGTCGTGTCTGTCGTGCCGGCGCAGTACTTTGCCCGGAAACGGGGTACGGCGATTGGGCTGATCTACGCGGGCGGGGGGATTGGCGGCGCAGTGCTCAGTCTCGCCATGGAGGCTGGAGTAAGGAACCTGGGCGTCGAGTGGACGTTCCGTCTGCTCGGGCTTCTGATGGCGGCATGCTGCACCCCCGCCGCGTGGTTTATGAGGGAGAGACAGAGCACGCAGCGCAAGGTGCTCATTGACTGGTAGGTCCTCTACGAACCCAGAGCTCGGCCTGTGGCCTCGCTGACGACAAGGTCTCTGCTCAAGTCGTGGGAATTCGTCCTCCTCTTCGCGGCCGGCGCTATTGCCACGTTCCCACTCTTCGTCCCGCCCTTCTTCCTCCCGCTCTACGCTCAGAGCGCGGGCATGTCCGCGTCGGCGGGTGCGCTGCTTGTCGCCCTGTTCAACTTCAGCAGCGCCTTCAGCCGTATCGGCACTGGTATCCTCTCCGACCGCCTGACGGGGCCTCTGAATGCGCTCTTCCTCTCCCTCTGCCTCACCGCTCTGACGCTGCTGGCTCTCTGGCCCCAGTCGACGAACCTCGGCTCGCTCGTTGCGTTTGTGCTGTTGAACGGCGCGGGCAACGGCGCCTTCTTCTCCATCATGCCCACCGTCACGGGCCACGTGCTGGGAAGCTACCGCATGGGCACCGCCTTCGGCATGATCGTCACCGGCTGGGCGGGCGGATACCTCATGGGCGCGCCGATTGCGGGATACCTCCTCGCGGCTTATGGCGGACAGGACGCGGGCATGAAGGCGTTCAAGCCGGCCATCTTTTGGGCGGGCGGAATGGCCGCCGGCGCGGCCGGGATCGTGGCCGCGCTGAGGCTCATGAAGAGCACGGATCTGCGGAGGAAGATGTAGCCTTGCTAGTTCAGTTTTGCATGCACATTGTCTCTTTTGAAGACTGGATAGCTCTACCAGAGAATAAGCAAACCTGGCGTCTCTAACTCTGCAGTCCACCTCTTCGGACAGTCTTCGTCCAACCCACAGGCATCGCGGCGCCACCCCCACACCCCCACACCCCCA